TACAGTTGCTCAGCACAGATTGTGGTTATTGATCTTGTGTGTGTGTGTGTGTGTGTGTGTGTGTGTGCTGGCGTGTGTGTGTGAGTGTTTGTTGTGTCCTAGCATGCAGCGATGATAATCCCTGAGATGTTTAGTGGCTTTGGCTATCCACATATGAAATATTTCTTTCTCTCATGCACCCTCATAATGAGATTAAAAGGAGATTTAGCCAATGTTGCTATTAAACTTTACCTCATGTAAACACAATGCTTTGATCAAATTGATGAGATTAAGCTCATAAAAACTTAAAACTTGGCATATGCTGATTTTAATCACAATAAGCAGTCATTTAAACACCTAATCACATATTCAACTCTGACCTAAATGCACGTGTGTTTATGTGGACAGCGTTGCGCGACATGAACATAGTGCAATATACTGAATGGTCGAAAATATCGAAATGGAGGCATTTTAGGTTTGTCTCCGGAAAAAGGACAGAGGCCAGATACCAAAGAACCTGCAAGCATATATGTGGAAGAGCTTGGCGAATAACATTTGTACTGTGCATGGGTTATATGAATAAAGACAGTGAAAATAATTCTTAGAGTATAATCAGAACAACAAAAACTCTTACTCTGATTATTAGAAAGAATCACATTATTAATGCACATGTAAACTTAGTCATTGTTGTCCAGTCACAAAAATGAAATAAATCCATCTAGATCAGAGGGTTTCAATCATTTAAATACCAAGGACCTCCAAATATGATCATCCTCTTTTTTTCTTTTTAAACTTTACACTAAACATTTCCACGGACCCCACTTCGAAAACCCCTGATCTAGATAATTAAGGTTTAGAATGAACATGCAATTTAAAATGGATCATTTTAATTTCTTTAAACACAACACTGGTGTTATTTAGTGCATTTCAAAATTAAAAAATGTTGTTTAATTGTCACAATATAGTTGCGATAACAATGAACATATTAACAACAGCCACATTTTCATAGTATTCAGTATTATAGCCAGTATTCAGCAACTCATCCCATTATGTTGAATGATGGGGTTGGAGTGCTACAAAAATTGATCACTTTAATGCTATTTTTTATGTTCCGGTTGTTGTTTTTGCTTTCTGTGTAATCATTCAGTTAGAGGTTGACAGCCAGAAGATTTTTTTTTTACACATTTGGAATGAGCTGATGGATGTTGTGCAGAAAGATGAAGCGTCTGTCATGCGTGTGTGTGTGTGTGTGTGTGTGTGTGCGTGTGCGTGTATGTATGTGTGTATGCGTGATCCTGGTAAACCCTACATTATCGTTATACCCCCCAAAGATGGCAATATCTGAAATTCTTGTCCTTGTGGGGACATTTTTTGGTCCCCATGAGGAAAACAGCTTATAAATCATACTAAGTTATGTTTTTTGAAAATGTAAAAATGCAGAAAGTTTTCTGTGATGGGTAGGTTTAGGGGTTAGGGTTAGTGTAAGGTGATGTATAGAATATAGAGTTTGTACAATATAAAAAAATGGAAAGTCCCTATAAAACATGAAAACACAACACGTGTTTATGATAGTTTTATTTACACTAATACTGTGAAATATTATTAGAATTTAATAATGTGATTTTCAGCATCATTACTCCAGTCTTCATGATCCGCAACATTTTTAAAAACATTTTCCTCTCGTTTTAAACACAGAGCATATAGAGATACAATATGTGATAATAGTGGGGGGTAATGAGTAATGAGAAAGAGAGGAAGTGATGTGGGCTGCCTCGGGATGCTGTGGAATATTCCTGCCGGCTGCCAGCTCTCCCTTTATCACTCGCTGCCGTATGGGATACATATTCATGCCTGCTTATGCTTCAGTGCATCTGAGAGATCCTCACACACACACACAACATGAAAGTTGAACACTTCTGAATGACTCAGCTATCTCTACTCAAACCTCATGCTCTTAAAGGGACAGTTCACCCAAAAATAAAAAGTCTTTTACTTTTCCAAAGGTGAACATGGTCCCTTTAAATGCATGGGACCATATATCTCCTATATGGGCATAAGGAATGGAGTTTATTCTGGCCAGCATTTTGCAACCCATGGGATTGTGGTTCCTAGCAAACTGTTGTAATTATGCAAATGGAATAATTGGACCGTTTCCTCAAATTCTTTGCCAGCCAAGACAGATTATTGATTGGAGACGGAAAGAGGAGGAGGGGAGGATAAGGAATTGGGAAGGAGACGGGTAGACAGAAGGGCCTCGTGTCCTCAATAAACGTCCTGACCTGAAGGAAACACAATCTGGGAAGAGTGAAAACAACAGAAATAGAGAGTTTGTTCGGTCGACAAATTTAATTAGCCAAACTCTCATCTCCTCTGTCTTTGTGTGTGTCGTGCATATCTAAGCTGTATCCGTAACGTTTATCTGTGATAAATTGAGAGCATGTTTGAATTTGTGTGCGTTTGCAGTCGTGCGTGAACGTGTGTGTCTGTTTAAGGAGTCTGAATTAATTTGCTAATGTGCCTGCGGTAAACACAAAAGACTCCTTACAGCTGCATTGGATTCTTTAAGAGGGAACGAGCGCAGACTATCAGCAGCGAGTCAAATAGACCAATTAGTCATTTATATTGGTAGTTACATTATAAGGATGAGTGAATCTCACAAAACCTGGCAAGAACATGTCATAGCTCACCCTTGAATTAAAATAAAGGAATAAGAAATTATATTTTGCATAAATGCAGCCGGGCTACTTTTAAAGTGCCCCATTATGCTATTTTAAAGTTTCCTAATGTTGTTTTTGAGTCTCCAACAGGTTTACATGCATCAACGTTTCATTTTCTCATAATATACATTTGCACATCACCATATTTTCATTGATTATCAAACGACTCGTCAGATGAATCAATCTCTCTAAATCCCTCCTTTCCGCGAGCTACTCTGCTCTGATTGGCCAGACGGCTCAGTCTGTTGTGATTGGTCTACCACGTACAGCATGCGTGTCGAAAACAAAAACGCCCGTTGCCATAACAACGTCAGCTCTGCTTGTCCTGAGGCTTCCTACATCGTAAACTAGTAACGAACAATGATGTTGATTACCATATCAATCCGAGCGCGAGTCCGATGATGAAACACTGGAAGAACTAGTCATTCAACCCGAACCTCCATCGCAAGGACGACTCGAGCAGGACGTTTCTCATCATACACTACTCGATTTGAGGCACATTATGAGATGTTGCAACTGTAATTCCTCACCATCAGCATTAACAAGTGCATGTCCACCATTAAACCGATTATTTTACTTGTACTTATTTATTTATTGAGTATTTTTCTAATTTATTGCAGTGAACATGAGGAAACTGTATCAGTAACAGTGCATACGTTAGCCGAGCTCTAGCTTGATTGACTAAACGTTGGTAAAACAAATCTTGCTCCATGCGTAATCTTTCCTCAAAGTAGTGAGAACGACAGACAATCTGCATTAATAGACACAGTTGTAGGTAATAGTGTCCCACAACTGATTAGCAGAAGTATTTCAGTAAGACAGTAATAATGTGAGTTAACCAGTTAGCAGGAGACCTACACAATATAAAACTCAAAACGAAGTATTTTGAACACCATGCTCAAAAGCAAGCGATTTGCGAATCCTGCGTTGAACTCCGAGATTTGAGAAGAAATCGTCAGTAAAAGGGAACACAGCAAAAGTTTAGGATTATACTGCTGTGATATCATGATAAAGATGAATTTAAACCACTGATTCTTCACATGCTCGTCCTTGGGCAGTGTATAAAAACTGTCTTTACCTTCACATTGTAGAGCACAGCGCCGTCTTCTCGACATGATGCTGTCCAGTGTCCACAGGAATCAGCTGCAGGTTTGAGGGGGTTCAAGTTTTCCCAGGTGTCTGCGCAGGCAATAAGTGGGCGGGCAAAATGCTAATGTTTCGTCTTGACGTCACAACGAAACGGCTTATGACTCATTTAATTTCATTGACTCAGAATCGACTCTTCCTTTTGAAAGGCAATAACTTTATATACGGTACACTAACTTTCAGATTTAAAACTTATATATATATATATATGTAAGTGTGTGTGTGTGTGTGTGTGTGTGTGTGTGTGTTACGTGTGAGTGTATTTATTTTGACTTGAGTTGTTGGAAATTCGTAACTGTGTGTGTGTGTGTGTGTGTGTGTGTGTGCGTAACAGTGTATATATATATAAGAAAGAGAGAGTATATTATGGTATTATACATTATGCTGATTGCTTAATACATATGTTTAAATCCTTTGAGAACAATGAGGGAAAAAATCAAAACTATGTGCCATATGTTTGAGTGTGTGTGTGTGTATATATAATATATATATATATATATTTTTTTTTTCTCATTATTTTCATTTTGATTTTAGGGTGAAATGTGACTTGGATATTATGCATCCTCATTGTGGCTGTTGAATATCAAATATGTGGTTTTGTGTAGTTTGCATGCATTTGCCTGCATGCGTCCTCTATGTGTTTATAGTGTGTGTCTGTCTCTATATGAGGAGAATGTATAATGGCAGAAGTGTACCAGCCCAAAACGGCATTTCTTACATAAGACTGAGTGCCCGTTGATCTGGAACTAAGACAGGCTGGCACAAGCCAGCTCACAGTTCACTCGTGCGTCTCAGAAACAGCTCTTCCCTTCCCTCTGCTGGTCAAAGGCAGGCATTACACTGCCATAACTCAAATATATAAATCATACTGCATTTATCCCATTAAAATCTAATCTCTTTCCAGAATGATCATTCACATTAACTTTATGACTTCCTATATGGTCTTTAATTGTATTTTCCATTCTGTTATGTTTCCATTAACAATGTGTTTGTATACAGTGTCCTGAATGTAAAATGCCTCATTATTCTTTGTAATTGAATCCTTTGAATAATGTTATCAGTTTTTTTTTCTTGTATCATTGCTTAGTCCATCTCCTTCTGCACTCACTCTGCTGTGTTTCATTTTTTTCTGTTTTGTTGCACTCCACAATCATGCAGCACCTGATGGACGCCAGGAGGACAAAGGTTTGTTGTCATGTTCGCCACCGCTAGCGTGCGCAGAACATGGGACCTGATCCTGTCCCTGATCTTTAATCAAAACCAGACTGTACCCTGAACCTGATCCCTGGATTCAGATCTCACAGGTTTCTTTGAGTGTTGTTCTTATCTACTAGGGATGCACAATAATGGTGACAATCAGTATAAACCATATTTGGATTGTTAATTATTGCTTTGGTCTGATTAGGCCGGTATTGGAAGCTATGGAAGCTTGTTTCCGCCACAGAATAAAAAAAGGTAATTGTAATTTTTTTTATCTCACAATTCTGACTTTATAACTCACAATTCTTGATTTTTTTTTCTCTTGCAGTTGTGAGTTTATATCTCACAATCGGGAGAAAAAAAAGTCAGGATTGCGAGATAAAAAGTCGTAATTACCTATTTTATTTTATTTTTCAAATTAAAGGGCAAAAACAAGCTTTCATATAGGAAGCAGATTTATTTTATTTTATTTATTTTTGCCAAATTTCAATTACCATTTTCTATGGTATGTTTTGATGTGATAAAATCATGTACATGTATTAAAAAAAATCAAGAGTAACTTAACTAGAAAAAAGAAAAAATGCAAAACATTATAGATTGGCAAGCATACTTTCAGCATAACAACAGCAACAACAAAAAATTATATCAGTGCATCCCTACTAGCTGCTGATCTGAGACCACAATTGCTATTTTAATTATCTTGGATCAGATTTATATAAGGACAACCTCAAAAAGGAACGTTTTCCCTTATCTGCTCCTCCCATGTTCCTCCAAGATAAGCTAAGACGGGGTACTCGGGCCTTAAATAGCTGTTGTTTTTATCCCTAAAATCCTGACCAAAAGCCTGTGACTCTCGATTGGACCGGTTCTTCTGACGGAATTATGTGTTCTGTTTGTGATAGTGCAAGGATGTGTGTTGATCTAAATTTCTGGAGACGATTGTGGGTTATCTGATCCAGTTCTGGGCCCATATACTCTCTCATTCTGCCGAAGGCACCACATGTGCCACATAGACTAGAAAACCCCATTATCTTGTGACTATTTCTAGCACAGTTTTTTGTCATTAACCTTATTTAACGTGTTATTAGTTAGTCTTTTCTCAGGAGAAACCTAATCTTTTCCTGTTTCCTCTCCTAGAATAGACCACACTGTGGTTTTCCTGCCATATCATTCATTTGGATTCCTTTACTAAGACATATAGGCTACTGTGTATTGATATTGATAAATTTGGCAGTTTGGCTATTCAGAAATCAGCATTTTACTGCATTCATGATTGGCAATAAAAAAAGGACAAAGTCATTATGAATTAAAAAATTAACCAGTTAAGTAATCTGTACACTAAACCACAAACGATGCTAGCCCCGCCCATAGAGAAATCTCATTGGTCCAAAGGGCTTATTTTACACTGTAAAAAGTGATCAGTTGACTTAACTTAAAAAAAGTGAGTAAACCCATTGCCTTAAAATTGTTCATAAACTTAATGCGTAATTGAAATAATTAAGTTATGTGGAATTGTCAAGTTACGCATGAAATTTATTTACTTAATAATTTTAAGGCAACAGGTTTCCTCACTTTTTTTTAAGTCAACTTTCTTTTGTAAGTCAACAATCTTTTTAAAGTGATTTATATACTATTTTCATGTTTAAAACTAAATATCTTTAAGGCAAGACACCCCAGATGAATATAAAAACAATAACGAATAAATATCACCATACTTCACCAGTTGATTGATTACATTAATAATAGCAAACATTTTTTGTATTACAAGTTTTCTGAAATTTTACGTTTAAAAGTATGGAAGCTTGTTTCCGCCACTGAAAAATAAAAAATAAAAAAATAATTGCGACTTTTTATCTCACAATTTCAAGATATAAGTCAGAATTGTGAGAAATAAAGTCGCAATTCTGAGAAATAAAGTCGCAATTGCGAGATATAAAGTCGCAATTATGAGAAATAAAGTCGCAATTGCGAGAAAAAAAGACAGAATTGCGACTTTTTATCTCACAATTCTGACTTTTTTTCTCACAATTGCGAGTTTACATCTCGCAATTCTGACTTTATAACACATAATTGCGAGTTTATATCTCGAAATTCTGACATCTTTTCTCAGAATTGTGAGATATAAACTCGCAATTGCGAGTTATCAGGCCAATTCTAAGGGGGAAAAAAGACTAACTTTTTTCCCCTCAGAATAGTTTATATCTCACAATTCTGACTTTACAACACGCAATTTCGACTTTATATCACGCAATTCTGACTTTATAACACGCAATTGCGACTTTATTTCACGCAATTCTGACTTTATGACCTGCAATTGCGACTTTATATCAATAAATTCTGAATTTATATCTCGCAATTCTGACTTTATAACATGCAATTGTGATTTTATATCACGCAATTCTGAGAAATAAAGTCAGAATTGCGAGATGTAAACTCGCAATTGTGAGAAAAAAAGTCTGAATTGTGAGATAAAAAGTCGCAATTACCTTTAATATTTTTCATTCTGTGGCGGAAACAAGCTTCCATATAAAAGAGCAAATGAGGTGTTGTCTAATTAAATATGCACTAATTTGCATACATTTCTAGAACAAAAATCTGAACACTGGATTAATTCAGTTTAAAAAATATTGTTTCATTTATTTGATATATTAGAGCCAAAGGTTTTTACAGAGGGAATTTTGTATCTCTATTTATCATCAGAAAATACTGTCAACAGCCAAAAATAATTAAATTTTCGCCATTTTTTAAAGAATAAAATGTATAAAATCAGGAAAATGATATATGAACAAACCCCTTTGTAAGAACCTTCATAATATAGAAAAGAATAAAACTGTAAAGTTTGGTGTAAGTGTTACTGAAGTGGAGATTTCTGGCTCAATGTAGGAGGAAAAACTCATTTTGAAATCTACAGATGCAAATAGATAAAGTGCTCTAAAAGATACAGTTCAAAGTGTATTGTGGATGTTTTCTGCCCACTAGTCTGAAAAAACGCTTTATGGAAAGCCAAAAAGCCCAAAATCTCAAAATTGACAGATGCAGGAAAAAACACTGTTTTTGCCTGTAGTGTCTCCCCGTAATTCATTTTTATTTCAGTTTTAGTACTTTTTAACCTAAACATTTATTTCACTTGTCAAGGCAACGTTTTTCATTTTTATTTGTTAATTAATTGTTAACATTTATATTTCATATAGCTTCATTTCAATTACAGAATTTTTTTTAAATAGTTTTCAGTTTTAGGTTTAGTTAAGAATAGCTACCCTGGTCCAAAGTCCCTACTCCTTTCTTCCAACATCAAATCTGTTTTGATTGGCTGTGATTTTGTCACTTTTCAGGTTTTAACTTTTGTTGAGGACAGAAAAATAGCTTGATGCTGAAAACTTCAGCCCGTTCCCATCACGGACAATAACTATAATGATAACGGCAAAGATTTAGTTTAAATTTAAAGATCATTATAAATTTAGAAGAATAGCAGTCCACACCACAACTATAACGATAATAGCAAAGAGGGATGATATGATTGGAATCACTTTCAGAATTTTTTTTTGAATCGATGAACAATAAAATCATTGACAGCCAATCAGAATTCATCCTGCTTTAAAAAGATCAAGCATTTAAGGCGGCAGATGACAAAACGGCAGCGCGCGATTATAATAAACAGAACGATTTCGTGCATTGGTGTGGACGCCAATATAGTTATCTTTATAGTTATCGTTCTTGATGTGAACGGGCCTTAAAACACAGTGTGATATGTTTATACACACAGTGAGATCTTCATAACCTTTATTTCAAAATCTAACCTGATGTTTTCGATCTCAAAACATGGGTCTGGTTGAGGATACCCTCTGATTATTGTCTAAATCCCAAAGATCCCAAAGCATGTCGAGTTCATTCCTGCTTTCGTTTTCTTCTCCAGCACCTCCAGTTGACCATTCAGGCCTTGCAGGACGAGCTGAGGACTCAACGCGACCTCAACCATCTTCTCCAGCAGGAGAGCGGCTCACGGGGCGGCGGGGGCGATCACTTCACCACCATCGAGCTGACCGAAGAGAACTTCCGTCGACTCCAAGCCGAACACGACCGTCAGGCCAAAGAGCTCTTCCTCCTGAGGAAGACGCTGGAAGAGATGGAGCTGAGGATCGAGACGCAGAAGCAGACGCTGGGAGCCAGAGACGAGTCCATAAAGAAGCTTTTGGAGATGTTGCAGAGTAAAGGGCTTCCCTCAGCCTCAGGAAGAGCATCAGATGAGGAGGAACAAGAGCGAGCCAGGCGTATAGCAGAAGCAGAAGCTCAGCTGGGACACCTAGAGGTGATATTAGACCAGAAAGAGAAGGAAAACATCCATCTGAGAGAGGTATCAGGTTCTACCCAAACTTTTGAAAACTTTTGAAAGTGGATTTTAGTGGATGTAACCGTTTCAAAGAAGAGACTATATTTCAATAGAGACAGTCTCCATGGAACAATCTGAGGTTAAGTGGTTTGCAATCGTAATAAGCAGAGAGATAGTCAGATGCAACTTAGACATTAACAGCATATGGTCACTGAGTCATCTGGACCCGAGAGAAAAACGTGAGGAGATCCATGCCAGCACTGTTGCAAGCACACAGATAATGCACATCATTCACTATGTGCTCAAAGAGTTTTCACATGACATCACACCTTTATAGAAATGCCCACCTGGAGGGCAAAACAAGGCTTTCCCCCATTGCCCACCTGTCATTTTAATCATGTTTGTACTATAATAATATAGTAAGACATTGATATTAAACGACCAAATTCAGTATCCACCTTCTTGATGATGCATAGTACCTGTATGTGTGTTTTTAGTGATTGAAATACCACAGCAGGGGCTGTTTATGGATCACAAGGGCATATTTTGTTCTTTTTTTGAGATGGAAAAGAGAGACCTTTGATGCAGGTCTATGGATGCTTTGCCCTCCAGGTCTTTGCGCCACTCACGTGACTGAAAAGTGTGAATAAGATGAAACTATACAAATGTGAAAAAGTGAATAAGATCAGAATGCACAATGTGATCATCAGATGTTCCTGGATTGACTTTGGGTTGGGTCAGAGTTAGGGATAGAGTTAGGGCTACAGTAAATAATAGATTTTAACCTCACACTATATTTATTTTTATAAAGGGTGATAGCTTTGGTATTTCTATTTTTGTGTTTTGTGTTTGCAATTATATTTAATTTAATGTTCAGGTTTTTTCTCAGGAGCTTCATCGCAGAAACCAGCATCACCCAGACCCTGGGAAAACTAAAGCTCTTCAGACTATCATAGAGATGAAGGTATGCTTTCATACACTGCTTTTCAGAAGTTTGGGTCCAGTATGATTTTTTTAAGACTTTTATTCATCAAGGGTGCATAAGAAAGGGTGTTAAATTGATCAAAAGTGACAGGAAAGACATTTCTAGTGTTACAAAAGAATTTTATTTCAAATAAATGCTGGTCTTTTAAACTTTCTATTCACTGAAGAATCCTGAAAATTATGAATCATCATTTAGAATATTAAGCAGCACAACTTTATAAATTAGAAAATTACATTTAAATATATATATATATATATATATATATATATATATATATATATATATATATATATATATATTTTATAATAATAATAAGTATTTCAATAATGCTGTTTTAATATATTTTTGATCAAATACATGCATCCTTGGTGAGTATAAAAGACTTGTGTACTGTCATTATATGAAGTTCATTATGGCATGTTCTGACTGCTTTGGAAGAACAATAGACTGAAAAAGCAAGCAGAATATGAACAGAATAAACCAGAAAGACAAGAGACATGTCTGATAGCAGATCCACTGCAGCATGCTGGTTAATGGCTGAGTGAAACAGTAAGTGGGTTTGTGCGCTCACAGACAGAGCAACTCCTGCCAACAGAAGCATTACACACCGCTCTAAAAATAAAGCATGACCTCATGCAAGGCACGCACACACACCCCTCGGGTCCACTCTGATTGGAGCTAAATATTACCCAGAGTTCACCCCTGCATCCATGTGACATGTAAGCATCGATGATATACTCCTATTCAAAGTGCAACTTCGCTAATTCGATTTATGTATTTTCCCTCAACCAAAAACTGCAAAAGCTGCTCCACCTGTACTGGTTTCCATAGCTCTTTTAACCTTTAGCATCACCGGTAGTGTTCCCTCGCCCTATTGGCTGAGCCGGGATGCTGATTCTGGTGTCATGGGAACAGGTGGAGTTGTTTACAACACAGAGAGCATGAATGCAGGCGTGGGAGAGGATGACAGAAAAGAGAGCAATGTGATCTGTTTGCTTATGGATATTATCTTTCATAAAGCCACAAGGTATCGCGTTACATCCATATGCTAAAAACAAATAGAACTATTGCACATTTAAATAGGCTATGCCTTAAAAACATTGACGAGAAGCCTAGCTGTGATTTATCTAGGGAATCGACTCTCTGTGTACAGTATATGGGAAATGGGATATTGGTTTTCAAAGGCCTCGTGTGAAAATGGTGCCTATTGATGTCTGTGAAAATAAAAAGACAAGAGAGTGAGTGGTAAGTGAGAGAGAGAGAGAGAGAGAGGGAGAGGGAGAGAGAGAAGGAAGGGCGGGTTACCGGAGAGAGCTTGTGAGAAGGAACGGCAAACGTTCTCTTATGTCTGAATGGGAGATGGACCATAGCTAATGCCAAAGACGTTGTATTATTTATTTAAAAAGCAGAAGGAGCTGCAACGCTGCAACTCTCGGTCTCACAGTCCAAAGAGGCACACGCACGCCTCTCTCTTTCCCAGAGCGTCTCTCCGCCCGGGCTGGATGTGCGCTCAGTACTACCAAATGGTGATTACATGCTGATCCATTAGCATGAGAAAGACCGATTCTGCTTGGGCTTTGCAGCAGTACTGCAGATGCTCACTGGCGATGCTGCAAGACGTTAGAGTTTCGCAGATCCCTGTCTTCCTGGTGTTGTGATCCCGCCTGTCTGTTGGGAATTGGGTTTGGCATGCTTCGATCCGTAGAATCGCACCAAAGTTGTCATACTAGCTTAAGATGATGGAGCACAACGTCGCTAATTTTTCCACTAAATTGTTTATCCAGGACACCAAAATCGCATCCTTGGAGCGCAACATTCGGGACCTGGAGGATGAGATCCAGATGTTGAAGGCGAATGGATTGCTGAACACGGAGGATCGAGAAGAGGAGATCAAACAGATGGAGGTGTACAAAAACCACACCAAGTTCATGAAGTCCAAGGTAAACAACTTCTTTAGGGAGCTTTAAACTATAAACAGCCATAGACTGATAAAAATGGATCAGTTTATGTAACTGATAAAGTGAAACGCACACTATTTCTGTGCTCAAAAAATGAAAATTCTTTCATTATTTACTCTCCTGTTGTTGTAAACCCATATGTTGTTATTTAGTTTGTTGAACACAAAAGTAGGACAGAAAAGTATACACTGATCACAAGCTCCAAATCATTAAAATAGCATCATTAAAATAGTCCACACAACTTCCACACACAATCTTCTGGAAGCACACTGCAATTTAGATTCATTAGTGAATGTTTCCAAAAGATTTTTTGTTAAGAAAGTTTTGTCTTTGTAATCTTGTGAAATGTGAAAACTTGCTTTGTCACTGAAACCACTGTCCTATTCAGGTTGACATCACCAACCCCTCCCCTCCAATCGCTCATCATACAAACAGACACGATCCAATCAATTCTCAATGGATAAATGTCCCGCCATAGATTTTTGTCTTTATTTGTTTCATATTACTTTAAGTGAGATGGATTGTGAACACTGTTTTATGTTCACTTTAAAAGCAGATAAAACAGTAAAGATTTACAATATCCGTGCAAATATGTCAAAATTTATAATATCGGTTAACATTAAAAATATTTTTAATTATTATACTGTTGTTAGCGAAAATTCTAACAGTGCATCCTCAGATGAAATATATCTTTGAGGGTTTTTTTTTTTTTATAAAGAAATGTGTATTTTTCACAAATTGTAGTGATGGGTTTCAAGTGTCACGGGAAGTGGCAGAGAACATCCTCACAGATGTCTGGTGGAATTGTAATGATAGGTTTGCTGAGTAATGCTAGAAGCAGCAGTATTCAAATAGGATCTGTAGGATCTGTGTAAATATTTCTCACGACTGTCCTGACAGTGTTTCTTGTCAAAACACTCCCGTCTGTCGGTGCAGTGTGAATTGTGCCTTTAATGCAACGATGTAATGATATTCTGATACCGAGTTCTGATTGGTTTGTTTGATTTACACCGCCCACTTTTACAATTTGGCTTGCATCTTGACAGAAAAGTTGATTTTCTCTATCTGTCATTGGTTAGAAGAGGTGGATTTTTGTGCACATGTGCGTGGGTATTGTCACTGGTGATGTCTTTGCTGTATCTAACATGCTCGTGAATCAGCTGGGGGTTTTGTTGTGATATTTATAGAACTCATTTCATCAATAATTGATATGGCTGATGTATATTAAATGGGGATTGCGTTCTGAAATCTATCTTTCATGGGAGGAGGGTACAGAATAGAGAAGAAAACTCCCATACTCATTTCAGCTTTTCTATTAAAACATGTCTCATTAAAAATAATTTGTCTAGATGTTTTGTAACATTTTATATGCTAAATCTTTTCCCTGTGTCACAAATAACAGAAAATGATCTTTCTCCGTGCCTTCTTTTGTTTCTCAATGTCTTTTAGATTGACCAGCTCAAGCAGGAGCTCTCGAAAAAAGAATCCGAGCTTTTAGGTCTGCAAACAAAACTGGAAACTCTGAATAATCAGAATTCAGACTGCAAACAGCATATTGAAGTGCTCAAAGAGTCCCTCACTGCCAAAGAGCAACGCGCTGCCATCCTACAAACAGAGGTTGCAAAAATTATTTTATTTAATTTGATTTATTTTTCAAATTTACTTTTGTGCAAAGCCCTGCTCCATAGACTCCCATTGTTTGTGCATTACTTTAAATAGTTTTTTTTTTTTTATCTTGTCTTATTTCATTTTAACGAAATGATGTTCTCACTTGTTAACAAACATAATATTTGACTTATTGCCATATTAGCACTTGAAGGCATATCTCATCAGCTATGCATGAACTCTGATGCTCATGGTGTGTTGGTTAGGTGGACGCTCTCCGATTGCGTCTGGAGGAGAAGGAATCGTTCCTTAATAAGAAGACGAAGCAATTGCAAGACTTGACTGAGGAGAAGGGAACACTGGCTGGGGAGATCAGAGACATTAAAGACATGCTGGAAGTCAAAGAACGCAAGATCAACGTCCTGCAGAAGAAGGTAAATCACTCAGGAATTAAAGGTCCGAGATTAGGTCAGACTGTTTTCATGGCCATTTAGTAATGTTTGGGGTCGATGTTGGCAAGCAGTACCTAGTTCCTCAGGAAGAGTGTGATATAAGCAACTGGGTTTGAAAATGAAAATATGTAATGTTGAAAATATGTAGAGCCTCTTTTACTGTAGATGTAACAGATTTATATAGCATTTAATATTGCCTATTTTTTGAAAACGGTTTGTACTGAGCCCTGCTAATTATATGTTTTAAGAACGTTTTGCTAATGTTCTTATTGTCCAGTTTTTTAAATGTTTTAAAAAACTTTTTTTTTCTTGGTTATGATAACATTAAGGAAACATTCCATTTTATAATTTTTAAAAGATTATGGAAACGTTACTTTTGAATGTTCACTAAACATTCTAAAACAAGTTATAACATTTATAAAATGTGGTCGAACCTCCAACTAAAACATTTCAGAAAACACCTTCCAAGAACAATGTACTATCAATGTTTTTGTTTTAATGCTTTTAGAACATTATTATAGACCAAGGGATAGCGAGATGTTTGTTGAAGTAATGCCAATGCCATGTTTTTTTGTTTTACTTGATGGTGCGACACCTCAGATTCTGTAGTAAGTCAAAGGACGTTTGCTTATATTTTGTCATTACATTACACCGTCATAACTATGTTCAAAATTGACCACTGATGGACACACAAACTTTAAAACGGACATTCTATTAACGTTACTGGAAGAACGTTTGTTCATAACTTTGAGAGATCGTTCTGAAAATGTTCCCTTCTAGATGTGAAAAAGCAGAATTTATTTTTCATTAGTTATAGTCAGCATTAGAAATGCACTTAAAGCTCTTCTAATACCCAGTGAGCTGAATTTTGACTGAAAATGGAAGCAGAATTGCTTGCACTCTTCACAGATAAGGCAATCCTCGAATGCATTTAACAATCTCCAAGGAACAGAGCCACAGAGCATTGCCACATTTCTCCACTGTATCTTCTTTCAACTCCTTTTTCATCTTTGCCCTCTCTTTACCATCTCACCGCATGCTTTGCTGGGTTCTTCAACCTTTTTCGTGTTATTCAGCCACACAGGAAACATCTCCGGTGTCAAAAAAGGCTTCAAACCATATTTAACTTCTGATCTTTTGCTCTCTGTGCTGGTTTGATCTCCTTTTATCGGATATTTTAAGTCACATCACCAACAACCTGCATTGCTTACATATCCACACAAAGAAACACCCAGTAGTTCCTTTTGCACTTAAAACAGCTTCATTTGCTCTTGAATCCCATTCATACAGCTCCATAATTGTGGTTAATGGGATATTGCACCATTCATCAAAAAGAAAAGCATCCAGTTCTTGGGAAGGATGAAGGGATGAAGTGAAATCTAGCCCATTATCTGACCATTCAGAACATCATCAGGCATAAATATTCCCTTGAGATGCTGCCTGTACCATTAGAAACCAACCACCATGTTTCACAGTCAGCAATAGACATTGTGGGTTGAACTATCCTCGGGCTTCCTTTAACACAAACCCGTTCAAATGGAAAACAAGGTGAAAGATGACCCAACAGACCATATGACTTGCTCAGATGTCCAGGTACTTTTCCCGTTACATCAGACCAGGTTATCCATCTTTGTAAGATGGCCTTGAGTACATGCGGTTTCTGAATGGCAGCACAGTTTATATGACTCGCCACACACAGCAATATGAAGTATACATCCATCCATGTCAGTGAATGCTGGCTTATAAATGTTCCTCTTTGTCAGTGCAATTTGTTGTTATTTGACATTTTCCGTTGTTGTTTTGACAATGTTTGTTGACCCCTTGTCACATTGAAATGTTTTTTTTTGTGACAAATGCTCCAACAATTTCTGCACAAAAAGGTTTATTTGTAACTTTATAGTGAATTTACAACTAATGCATTCATTTTAGAGCAAACAAGCAGCGCTCTTGTATAAGTGATTGTTAATCAGCAATCAAGATAATAAGTCAAATTAAAAACACTTTTTTTTTTAAAGGTGAAGTGTGTGATTGTATCACCCCTACATTTCCATCGTCCCAAAGTCAATGGGTTTATTGAATGGGCTTTTAGTTAAATGCCTGAAATAAGGTTTGTGGTTAAAACAAGCTCAAGTCAAGATATTTTCACATTTTATTCTACAACATTACAATATATCAGTAATACCCTACATGTGATTTTTTTTGTTGTTGTTTTTTTTGTTGTTGAAGATTAATGGTTGTAATATTGGAGTCATGTGACCGTGGTTCAAATATAGCCCATTCTTAGCTTTTGACTTTTTGCAATTTTATTTATGCTTCAAAAAAATGTGTGTTCAGTTGCGAAGAGGAACAAAATGTTGGTCACAGAGCTTATTTTCTGCAATAATCAAAAAGCTAATTGAAAAATCCTATTTTTTTCCGAGGGAACCAGGGTGATGCGAACTTATGGGTTGGCCTACAAAAATGCATCATCGCTGAAGCAATACCAGACAAAATGATCTAAAAGTGCCACTGCTGCTACATATAACTACATATGATGTTTTATTTGTGAATAACTGATCGCCAGAACACACTACATGAGATGGTTCAGATCAATCATGAGTTTTCAAAGAGAACTCTGGATAAACAGTTAGATGTTTGCTATATCCACACCCGTTTTATTTTCTTCCTCTCTCTTAGATTGAAAACCTTCAGGAGCAGCTGAGGGATAAAGATAAACAGCTCGGGAATCTAAAGGACAGAGTGAAGTCTCTCCAGACGGACTCCAGCAACACTGACACTGCCCTCGCCACGCTAGAGGAAGCTCTGTCTGAGAAGGTACCAAAAACACGGCTGGAAATTAAAATGTAGACTAGAACCACATAAAATCAGAGCTGCCTCAAATATGCTGATTTTAGTTTTTTAAAGAGGCCTTTTGGAAATCTCTCCAAAATCATGCAAATTATGCAAATCAGGTAAAAAATAAAAACATAGCCAAAAAGTCTATTAAGTATAGCACAATTCCCCCGCACTCAGGCCAGATTTGAGTGCTCGGTTGTGAAGGATGCCACAAGTATACTTTTCTGGGACTGTGCAGCATTGCTTCAACTTTACAGTAGGGGTTGAACAACTTCAGATTTTTTTTAAAGTCGACATTTATCTGATTAAAGTCGAGTCGACAAGTGAATTAATTCTACCAGCATCTCTCTACTAATAGTGAAGCTGTGGGTTTTAGTTACTAAGAAATATATGCAAACAATTTAATTTTCTAAGCTATTTTATTAATAAATTACAGAACAGTGTTGTCTATACATTTCTGTGCTTCTGAATGTTTCTGTGTGCGCGTGATCTGCATTCAAGCTACTGTGTGTATGTTACAATGCAGCAGCGCATTAGTTTAGAGACGGCGAGCAACATGCATATACAAAAAGCTATTTAAATCGTGCATTCACTCGATCAATTTTGACCATCCAGACGGTATAGTCAAACATATCTTGTGGAGTGCTCTCGGATTATGTATTTATTTGTAATTTTAACTGTTGGAAACTGTAAAAGTGGACTTAAAGGGATAGTTCACTTTGAAATTAATTGCCGGAAAAGACCGAAGCGCCGGCGCCATCAGATCACTTGGACGTGGCTGTGTTTACAAGAGTTAAAAACGATATAAATACTGTTCGTTTTCTCACACAAACCGCTCGTTTCGTGTCTTAGGCCATCAATGTGTACTTACATTTACGAGTCATTAAATCATGTTTAATTTGGACTTCTCTGTGCATGCTCTTTGAGGAAGTTACCATAGACCTGCATTATATGACTGACAGACAAGAACGGTTTGACCTAAAAATATCAAAATTGAAACTACTGCGGAAACAAAGACACCTACATCTTGGATGCCCTTGAGGTAAGCTAAAACATACCAAAAATTAATTCCAAAGTGAACTATCCCTTTAAAAGATTTCTTATCCTGTTGCGCCCTCTATAGGCCATGATCAGCGACTGGTCGACGTCAAGCTTAAAGCGTCATGGCAGAGCATTAAAGTCGACTAGTCTGTGCAACCCCTACTTTACAGCAAGTGTTAGTGAATTTGTCCCTTATGAATGAAGACATACACAGACATGTATTGATAAACCATGTGTATTAGGGAAGTGTAAATAGTTTTAGCATGCTCAATTATCCGTGAGTGCAGGTGCAATGTGTTTTTGTCACAGGAGCGAATTATTGAGCGCCTGAAAGAGCAAAGAGAGAGGGAAGACCGAGAGAGACTAGACGAGGTGGACTCATATAAAAAAGAGAATAAAGACCTGAAAGAGAAGGTGAACAATTTACAGCTGGAGTTAACGGAGAAAGAGGTACGTCAGAGATTTGCATGCATGACTGTTAGAGTTGTGTTTCCTTGAGATTTTGGTCAGCTCTGGTCTCGTCTTCCTCTTCCTCCAGTCAAGTCTCATAGATTTAAAAGAACACGCCTCCTCGCTGGCCTCATCAGGGCTCAAGAAAGACTCCAAACTCAAGTCTCTTGAGATCGCAATCGAGCAGAAGAAAGAGGAATGCAATAAACTGGAGACACAGTTACAAAAGGTATGATTTTCCTTCTGACACCTTGATAATTCGATATTTGCCGATTTTAAGATTATCTATCAGCATCGGCCGTTAACTGGCCACGTTGGCACTTAATAAAAGTGGTTGCTCCCCCTTGTGTCGACTCCAGAATCAACCGACAACTTTGTCAATAGATAATGCACATTTTTGTTTTCAAATATTTGAAGTGAATAAATATTATGTAAAATAAGAAAAAAATCCATTTTTTGTGTTTAATTTTAGCAATATATATTTTACTACCTTTCGAAAGTTTGGGGTCTGTAAGATTTTTTTTAAAGAAAGTATTTTTTTTTATTCAGCAAGGATACATTAAATTGATCCAACTGACTTTTACATTGTTAAATTGCTGTTTTGAACTTTCTGTTTATTAACCCTTAAAGACCTAGACCATTTTTGGAGCACATGACTCGCCTGCCCTTTTCTTTGTTTTTCTAACCCATTATGGCAGTCAGCATCAAGTACCATATATCATTTTAAACAAGAGAACTTGATGTTTCAATCTAGCTCATTTAAATAACCAATTTTACATTTATTTTGTCTTAGAATGGATAAATTTACCAGATTTAAGAAAAACGGCAGCAGATTTCTTGTGTTTTTTTTTTACTCAGCTCAAACAAATCCTCCTGAAGTTTGGATTTTTTCCTTTAGAAAGTTGTACTTGGAAATTCTAGATTTCCAGATGAAATTTTTACTACATGTAACAATCCCTAAGCAAGTTATAGCCATTTATTATAACATTATTATAGGCGATTTTCAGTAAAAATCTAGTGTTATTTACAATGTAGATGTGTCCAAAAAAGTTCAGGAAGAAAAATAAATAGAAACATTGTAATAGAGCACTGAAGGAAATGTGACTTTATATATATTTATGTAGTTTCAACCGATCTGGGCTTGGGGGTGGGACTAAGCATCAACAAACTGCTCGTTTGGCTCAGAGGAACAAATCACATGGGTTTCTTTGACGAATCAATGCTGATCAAAACTTGATGATGCAATCACATTCACTACATAGCATCTGAATGTCCAATCGCGATGAACACGATACCAAAATAAAGCCGCGAATCTCCTCTTTATGGGACTTTTTAAAGCATACAAATTGGATTAGTGGTTCAAAAGTTATTAAACATTTAAGAACAACAGTTATTTTTATGCCGCCGGCGGCCGTTTAGGTCTTTAAGGGTTAAAAGAACCCTGAAAAAATGCATCATATTTCAATAAAATATTAAGCAGCACAACTGTTTTCAAGATTGATAATAATAAGAAATGTTTATTTTATTTTCATTTTTAATAATATATTAAAATAGAAAAATGTATTTCAGATTGTAATAATATTCCACAATATTACTATTTTTCTGTATTTTTGATCAAATGGTGAGCATAAGAGACTTCTTTCAAAAACGTTTGAAATTCTTTCCGATCCCACACGTTTGAACGGTAGTGCATATTTAATCAGTATAACAATCTTAGTGAAAAGTACATTTTCATCAGTTCACATGACGAATGTCAAAAATTCCAGTTGATTATTGAAAGTCCAGAATTGAACATAATGTTTGACATGATAACATGTTTTTTTTTTTTTTAATCCTAAAAGTTTATTCTAAGTTGTATTTTAAATGAATGCTATAGATTTTAAATGTGGCCTCTCTCTATTCTGGCATTATATTATCCATCCTGCTCTAGGAGCATCTACTTTTTTAAAGACCCATATCAGTCAACCACTAATCGCTATACCACTGGAATTACGTTCAATGAATTAGCCAGTTGTTTCATTGAATGTGTTTTCTGCATCAGCTTAATGGTCACTCATTTTAGAGGGCATCATGGGAACTTTATTGAAGTATTGATAAGATGTTGCTGTCTTTGTCTAATTTCTCCTGTCTGACAGCAGCTGTGTCTCAAAACCTCAAAAAATCAGAACCGCTCGGCAGTTCACTCCGATTTGAGACTCGGCTGGCTTCTTTTTGTTCTTATGTTGCTCTCTGGTTACTTATATTCTCCTGTGTAGAACATTATCATTAACCTGAAAGAAGAGCTAATGATAAAGCTTGTGCTGTTTTACTGGGTCCCTTCATACTCCTCCTCCTCCTCATTTCCCATGATTCCCTCCTTTGCAATGTAGCAAGCAGAGCAGCTGTTCAGTCAAATGAACAATCCCGTAAGTGTCTCTCCGGATCTGTACTAGCACATGTTGAAAGCATGAGGACACTACACACTTAGTTTCTTTAACTTCAAATTTAACTTATAAAGGTCTAGAAGGAATTCAACCCCGCTGGCTTAGAGAGCAGGAGTTGTGATTTATGATCTGGTGAACTTTAAGGTTCATCCTGTGATACAGGAACAAATATGTATATTATGAACAGCTATTTTTGGAGGTTTTTGTTGTTGTAGTATCAATAGAGGCCTGCAGGATATTTATATATATTTATATTCTTCCATAGTTCTCATGCAGTATAGGTCTTAATATTTAATTTATGTTCATTTAGTGGTTTTTATCATATGGAGACCAAACCAACGGGATAAAACAGAATTTAGTGTGATTAAGGCATTCTGTGAAACATGTTCAGAATGTTCAGAAACTGTATTGTTTCCTCATGCTTCCAGTGATTACTAATCTGTTTCCTTGTAGTTAATACTCAGATACTTGAACACGCATAAACACATTGCAAAGAATCTTACCCACTGAACCATGGAGCTAAAATCCACATTTGCATGTTGCTTTGCATGTTCCTCTGTGTTGTGTGTTTAATTCCTCTCATGTCATGTGATCATTTTGAGAATCTGGAGTGTCAGCTTTGATTAACTGCCTTTGTGACAACTTTTGGTTTTATGACCACATTATCTTGGATTATACTGTATATGTCGTCGCTTTCTTTAATTTTGTTTTGTATGCGATCAGTGTTGGGTGTAATTAATTACTAATCTAATTACTGTCATTTAATTAAGTAAGGTGTTACTCTTCATTTTTCTGTAATTTAATAACAGTTACGTCTGATGTAATTGCATTAAATGCTGTATAGACTAACAATTCTCTGTAAAACAATAGTGGATTTAACATCAACATTAATGTATGCTTTTAATGTAATCTTCTTCCACACAATTTGGTTAGTTCAAAAATAATTTATGCAATTGTAGCTATATTGTTTATTTGAAAGAATCAAAAGTGCAGTTCCGTGTCTGTCCCTGTATTGTTCAAATCGAGGTTGATATGGGATTTAGAAAGTGATTAGTAATAAGTAATCCAATACTTTTTAGAGAGAGTAATGAGTACAGTAATCGAATTACTCTGTTGAAGATGTAATTAGTAGCTAGTAATTAATTACTTTTTTTAGAGTAACTTACCCAACACTCTATGTGATCCATTGTGCCTTCATTTTAAACATGCTGATGTAAACTGTGTTTTAGAATGCTTGTAGTGTTTTACAAACTAAGCAAGGCTGCGGTTAAATATTGCAAAGGAAATTATGCATAATTGCAACATCGTTGGTTCTACAGTTTTTAACTACAGTTTCGACTGCAACAAGCCAAATAAGTACATTTAATCTTTGGAGTTTTTGCATTTAAAGCTTGGCTGATTATCTGCTTTGTGAAGCCCAAAGACGCCTCTACTCTGGCATACGTGTTGGCATTCAGAATTGGGAATGTTTCTTCATTCGTTGATTTTGATTGGCTAAGGCTGTGTTTTTTTAACTGTGGTTTCTATGGCGATGCCTTCCCGGGATCCTCATACAGAAGGCCCACGAGGTGGAGGTGCAGCAAAGCTCACGTGGGAACCCCGAGTATGTGGACCGGGTCAAACTTCTGGAGAAGGAGGTGTCCTACTACAAAGAGGAGTCCGGCAAAGCCCAGAATGAGGTCGAGAGGTTACTGGAGATTCTGAGAGAGGTGGAGACGGAGAAAAATGACAAGGATAAGAAGATTGCAGAACTGGAGAGGTGAGGACCCTTTTTTACTTTTGGAAGGGTGAGGTTGAACATTTACACATCAAACATTTGGACACACTTGACTGAATTTGTTTTTGCTTTCTTGTGCAGACTGCATTCTTATGATCTTAAAAACATTTTGATCTAAGTACTTATACATCAATAATTGAAATAAGCTTTGTGGAAAATATAATTTGTGACTATGGATGCATTTATTGTATTGTTAGCATATATTATGTATGCATTACAAATTAATTGATATTAACAAATTAATAATTAATAAATAAAAAGGTTTAATTATTTAAAATAAATGAGTTGGCCGGATAGTAACAAATATGCATGCATTTCTTTACTAAACTAACATTTTAATTAAAGTTTTTATTTTTCACAAAATTGTCTTCCAATACGGTTTAAACTGCATCCCAAGATGCACCACCCGTGAAGAGCTGGAAATCAGAGAAAAGAGGAAATTTGAGATATAAAATGAAATATAAGATATTTGCTTTGTTTAAAGTTGCGACAATCTTTTATTCCCTCTTGTGATGTATATCCGATTGAATGAAAAAATGTAGGGCGGGACTTGATTTTGTCCTTTGGGAATTAATTAGATGGTTGTGGTTTGCTATTGGTGGATCTCATGTGAGTGACAGGTTGCCCCGCCCTCACGCCAGGGAACACATCATCAGAGAAGAGATGTCGCTGCAAGAGGGAGGAGGCGTTATTTTGATTAAAGATTACGAGAACACATGATTTTAAAAAATGATGTGCATGGATAAATCAATTTATAATAAATACTACAAAATTCCATAAAAACGAATAAGAATCTGCAATTTTGATTTCATGGTCACTTTAATGGTCACTACATAACTCATACTTCAATTTGTGTTTTTTAATAGTTTCAGACTCTTAAAGGTATGGTAGGCAATTTTCGGAGCGGCTAGCAATAGCAAGCTAGCTTTGAAAGCAAAAGATCCCACCCTCATTTCAGAGCGTCTACAAAGCCACACCTCCTCCAAAACACATGAACGCATGCAGAAGAGTTTGCAAAGCATCACGTGATGAGAGATGGTTTTAAACTTCCTCATTTTCTCAAAGCACATAACATTACAATAATAATGAACAAAAACAACCTAAAGAGCACTGACCTGTACCACCTGACTGCTGCAGTCCCACCTGACTGTCATTGCATTCGGACTAAATGCAATGATTGGAAGAACATTTTATGGTCCTACACCTTCCACAGACAATATATAAATACATTTAGACCACTTAACTTAGTGATTGCTAGCAGGATGTGAAAAGATTTTCAACCAGCACAATAGAAAAAAATTCTGCAACAAATCGCCTACCCCGCCTTTAATGATTTTTACTCTTATTCTAAAATATTGAAAGTATAGTAAAAAAATAAACAATGAATAAATGTGTTTTAACGTTTCCCTGGTAGTGTAAATATAAGATTTAACACGCTGAAACATATTTATGAAGTCTGCACAAGTTTCATAAAGCAGCATCAGGACTGATCTCTCGTTTTGCCGTTATCTCGGGCCTTGACAGCATTAGTTGACAGTTGTACTGCTAAATATACAATTCTGCAGGGATATAACATCAAAATGCTGATGTCAAGGGCTGTTTTGTTATCGATGCGGTACAAACCGCGCTGTACTCTCAGAGCTGCCGTCAATAATGCATCTCCTACAGGGGAAATATGATGATGATTGCAAATATTTATGCTGTTTCCTGGATTCATGCATTCATGAGGTCATCAGCATTCTGTGCGTTTCTGACATGTTCTGAATATTGATATCAAGCTTGTGTTTAGTGGTTGTGAATTGCCTCTCTTCATACGCTGTGATGACTACTATTCCCGACAAATCTATGTGTGTTTTGGCATGTTCGTACAACTGCCTCCGGATCTCTTCTTTTAAATGATTCTATTTATAAGTTCGGTCCTAGAGAGCCGCTGTCCTGCAGAATTTAGTTCCAACCCTAATCAAACACACCTGAACAAGCTAATCAATGTCTTCAGGATTACTAAGGCTATAGGCAGGAGAGGTTTTTTTTCAGTGTTGGAGCCAAACTCTGCAGGACAGTGGCTCTCTAGGACCGAACATGCCTACCCCTGATTTAAGACATCAGGTCCATGCTACTCCTGTGTGTTCAGGTTGTACATCATCCTAAATGGCCGTTCACACTAACAGCAATTTGAAAGTGATCATAAATCATTGACACAACAAAGTTGTGAAAGGTTACATTTCATGCAAATAAGCAGTAATACAATGTGCTGACTACCAGTGAAAGTGATATTTTATGCATAAATATATAACAATAAATTAAATATGTATTTAAAAATAAAATAAAAATGATAAAATAATATTAAAAATTATAATACAATCTTTATTTAATGTTTTAATATATATATATATATATATATATATATATATATTGATGCACCTTTAATTATCTTGTTTACAATAGCCTATAAATTATGCAGTGCTGCAATTGACATACCTTTTTTCTTTCCATTATAAAAAAGCAATAAAAATCCCTGTCAGTGTGAACAGCCTTCATAATAGTTTTGGCCATCAGACAGTAAGTTCAGTTCCTCATAGGTTCTTCAGCTCTGGCTCAAAGTCGTGTTTGCTTTTTCTCAGTTGACGCTCATGCTTCAGTGTTAATGTGGTTTAATTAACCATGTGTGTTTCTGTTTTTTGTTTTGTTTTTGTTTTTTTACCGTCTCGCCAACTCTTTCTCTTTCTCTGTTCTGTCTTTCGGCCTTTCTCTTTTTCCGACCTCTTTCTCTTCCTCCTGTTCTTCCATGATCCTTCATCTTCTGTCATAAAACACTCATTTCTTGTTCATAATTTCTTGTCAATCTTCATGTTCTTCCTGTCCTGCAACTCTTCTGCATTTCTGTCATTGGCTACTGAATTCCTGTCTTTAACGAATTGAAATTAAACATTGTCTATCTATCTATCTATCTATCTATCTATCTATCTATCTATCTATCTATCTATCTATCTATCTATCTATCTATCTATCTATCTATCTATCTATCTATCTATCTATCTATCTATCTATCTGTCGTGCTATCATTCTTCCTTCTTCATTCATGTTACCTCCATCCATAACCTCATAACTCATACATCCTTGACTTTGGCCCAGCCCCCCTCCCCCCGCTGCCCGCCCCTCGCCCCGCCCTGGTGGCAGAGCCCCCTCTGAGCCTCCCCCCTCTGTGTCCGCTGCCCCCCAGCAGATTGGGGGCATGATGTGGGACTTCCTGGGAAAGTGAGTGCTCTGTCCTGGCACCACGGCTCGGCTGCATTTATCTGTGTGGCTGTTTGATGCCTTGATGTCCCTGTTGCACGGCTGTCTCTCATTCACTGGTTTTTCTAGCAAAGGAAAGGATGGTTTTATTCCTTATAATGTTGTAAATATTTGCCAGATTGCATTGATGTAAAAATCAGTGGACTGAGACAGCTCAGAAAATAAGATGTGTGTATAATGTGTTTTGTGGTTGTGTATGCCGTTTCTTGTGCATGTATTGGGCTCTCTTCTAAACTCTTGTGAGATGCCTCACTGTATACGTAGGCAGCATCCTAAGTAAGTAAGTTAACAAATGCCATCTTGATCTCGTCACAGTGCATTCTGGCACTGTTCAAAAGTTTGTGGGTTTTTTTTCAAATAAATGAATAATTCTATTCAGCAAGGACACATTACATTGATCAAAAATGACAGAAAAGACATTTGTTTGTGTAACAAAAGATTTATTTTTCAAATCAATTATGTTCTTTTAAACTTTATTCATCATAGAATCCTGAAAAAAAAAAAAAAAAAAAAATCTCCACAAAAATGTTAAGCAGCACAACTGTTTTCAGCAGTGAAAATAAGAAATGTTTCTTGAGCAGCAAATCAGCATATTTCTGAAGGATCATGTGACACTGAAGCCTAAAGTAATGATGCTGAAAATTCAGCTTTGCATCACAGGAATAAATTATATTTTCAAAAATATTAACATAGAAAACAGTTATTTTAAATAGTACTTTAAATGAGCACACCTATAGTGACTAAAATATGTTGCCTAGGTAGACATCTCACTCGGCTTTGGAACAGAGCTTACATCAACCAGATTGCACGTTTTCCTTTTTATCATTATATCTGTTCTATAATGTGTTTTTGTGCAGTGGATATAGAATTTGCAATATCTCACAGTTTTAATCAAAATGGTTCCTCTGTTTCAGCAGCACAAAACTTTTCTTTCACATTGTGTCAGATGTGTGATAACTGCACACTTGATATATCTGTGGTGTTGATGTTGGCATGGCAACATGTTACATGTTAATGTGTAGTCATACTTTGAAAGTGCACCAAGATTAAAGGGATGGTTCACCTAATTTTTTTTTTTTTTTACATTTTTTACTCTCCCTCATGCTGTTGAGCTCCAAAAATGACAAAAATGCACTAAAATATCAAGATACATTTACTTGAGAAGCCAAATGACATAAGATTTCAAGGACAAGAAGTTGAAAAATTTTACAAAATTAAGTAACTTTATGCTTAAAACAAGAAAATAATTTCTGCAGAAGTTCATATGACTCATCAAGTAGTTCATATGACTCATGCATTATATTCCAAGTCTTTTGAAGTGGATTTGTGTAAGAATTTGAGTCATTATTTACTGAAAATGAATGATGAAGCTATATTGTACATGAAAATTACATGGAATTGTACATGAAAGAGAGTAAATGACAGTAATTAAAATTTTTAGGTGAACTATTCTTGAAATTAGACTTCAAAACTGTTTTTTTTTCTCTCTCATGCATTTGTTAACTATAATGCTGTTATCTTGGTGTATTTTATTCCACCCTGCTTATGTGACATGTTAACATGTTCTGAATTTGTTACTCTATTTTGCACACACACGCTTCTGTGATCTCTGTGCTTGCCGCTTGGTGTTGCTGGCATTCGAGGGCTTTGGCAAGGAGCGGAGCCCCGTTTCCTGACCCTTGAACCCCCATTTCACACGCTGATCTGCATCCCCTCTCCTCTTTCTGCTTCCTAACATCATCTCTCCTCCCTTCGCTCTCACTCTTCTGAATGATCCACCCACCTCAGCCTGCCAAATCCCCCCCCCCAAAACGGCCGTCTCACTGTCCTGCATGAGACGTTGGCCGGCATTGCAGGCCCCGTTGTGCTCTGTGAATGAGCTGGGTACTTTAGGTAGGGTCTGGTGTTCCTCAAGTAGGTCTGCACCCTCATGCCTGAGCGCTCCTGCCCCGTTTGCCCCCCCCCCCCCCCCCCCCCCCCCCCCCCCGCGATCCCTCACTGCGGCTCGGCTGGTTGAGCTGCTGCATGTTGGCACTCTCACGGGCCCCTGCAGATCTGGACCCAGAGGTTAACCACTGACAGTGATGGTTTGAGATGATAGCGTCTTGCATCCTGTCTTGTTGATCTTATAGGAGCCATTTTAAACCACCCTTAGTTTCTCTCTTGACTCTTTCCAGCTGTTTTCTGCTTTGTTTCTGATAATTCTAAAGTTTTATTTCTCCTTTCCTTCCTGTTCGCTGTGTTGTGGCTTCTCTTCCTTCCCGGTCCTGCCCTTCCTGCATCCTTCCTCCCTCTTCTTCCTCCACCGCCAGTCTTGCTCCCAGGTAAGTTGGGTGTTCCTCAGGTGTCCACCCTCCCTTCTGAGCAATAACCAAGCGTGTTTCGTTCATGTGATAATAACTGTATCGTGTTTCTCGCAGTTGCATATAGTGTGTTGTTGTCATGATTATGAGTCTCAGTTCATGGTGTTATATTGTTATTTGCACTTACTAATCACACATACACTGATGCCAAAATGTGTTTAGACACTTAAGACGCACTTTAAAAAGTCTGAATGTTACATAATGAAGTATCAAACCAAATGGCATTTGTAAAAAAAATAATTACTGTTAAGTGGATGCGTCGAAATCTCTTAAGTATGGCTTAAGTAGAGCTCTTTTTTTTCCAATATAAATATCTGAACATTCTTAAATCAAGATTAATTACTTGAGAAGCAAAATGTAATATAAGTAACATAAGTAATAAAGTAGCAAAACTAACTTTATGCTTAAAAGAAGAAAATATATATGCCAAAATATAACATATATGATATCTTATAACATATATACATATATCTAATTTTTTTTTTTTTTTTACAAAACAACACCTAAAGGGATAGTCCACCCAAAAAGTATAATTCTGTCATCTACTCACCTTCATGTCATTCCAAACATGTAAGACTTGCTTCTGTGGAATACATAAGAAGATTTTGAAGAATGTTGGTAACCAAACAGTTTCAGTAAAAAAAAAAAAAAATAGTGGAAGTCAGTGCGAACTAAAACTGTTTGGTTACCAACATTCTTCAAAATATCGTTCTTTTTTTTGTATTCCGCCAAAGAAATACAAGTTTGGAAGGACCTGAGGTTGAGCAAATATTGACAGAATTTTTTTTTTTGGGTGAACTATCCCTTTAATTTCCCTTTAAAGTCATTTTGCTTCTCAAGTAAATGTATCTTGATTTTTACTGGAAAACAAGACAAAAATACTGAGTAAGAAAATAGTTTTTTTTTCTTTTTCGGGCCAACGTGACAAAATTGTTGACATCTTCTCAATATGATAATTAATTGAGATCATATTTTGATTGGTTAAATGGTGATTTGTGATTGCTATAAAATTAAACTATTCAGGTGACACACTGTATGCTTTTTAAGGCAAACCAAGGATCCAATTAAAAAAGGCCCAGGCATCAAGCTTGGCCCTCAGATGGACAAGAAAGGCCCTGGTAACATCTTGCAAGACCAGCGCAAGGATAATCCAATGGACAACCCAAAGGTGTGTAGGTGTGTGTGTGAGAGAGAGATTTATACCTGTGTGAATGGATGATGCCTTTATTTTTCCTTAGAAAAACAAAAGGTTTTCTCATCATTTTCCTGCACACGTTTTTCTTCATTTCACAGATGGAGGAGTTGATGAATGTTTTGGAGAAGACGAGGCAGGAGTTGGATTCCACCAAGCAGCGTCTGTCCTCCACCCAACAGTCTCTTTCTGAGAGAGACGGCCATCTGACCAACCTCCGACAGGAGCGCAGAAAGCAGCTCGAGGAGATCTTAGAGATGAAGTAAGAATCCTTGCGATCAGACAACAGGATCTAAAATTTTTGATGCCTAAAATGTCCTTTAGTGTACATGCATTGCAGACTGTCTGTTCCTCTCAGACAACAGGCTCTGCTCGCTGCTATCAGTGAGAAGGATGCTAACATTGCTTTGCTGGAGCTGTCATCCTCCAATAAGAAGAAGACACAAGAGGAAGTGCTGGCCCTGAAAAGAGAGAAGGACAGACTGATGCATCAGCTCAAACAACATGTCAGTAAATTTATGCCCTTTTAATAACACATAGTATTAAGACAGTTTAGGTATCATCAATTTATCATAGAGCTGCACGGATATTGAAATCATGTCTGATGCTGACAAGTGGATAATTATTTTCATTTTATGGCCAATAAATGTTAAATGGGTGGTATTATAGAACTGTAATGTACTGTATTTTTTTTTTTTTTTTTTAAGTTAAAACCCAATAAAAATTAATATTGTGCATCTTACAAGTGAATTTAGGCATCACACCATTAAATTGTGTTGTGTGAGAAATTAATATTCATTTTGAAATCTTCTACAATATATTGAGATATCAAGATTAATGCAAATCGCAAAGATTGTGATTTAATTAAATGGTAACACTTTACAATAAGGTTAAATTTTTTAATATTAGTTAACTAACATGAACTAGGAATGAACAATACTTTACTCTATTTATTGTTAATTTCAACAGTTAATACAAAAGTTGTATTTGGCAACATAGATTAATGCACTGTGAACTAACATGAACAAACAGTGAACATCTGTATTTTTATTAACTAACATAAACATACATTAATAAATAATGTAACAAATGTATTGCTCATTGTTAGTTCATAGTTAATACTTTAATGTTAACAAATGAGACCTTATTGTAAAGTGTTACCAATGAAATAAATAATTGACGTTCCTGTATTTTTTTTATATCACAATATATATTGCAAAAAAAAAAAAAAAGATATCACAATGTCAGGTTTTTTAACCCAATATTATGCAGCTTTAGTTTAGAATATAATATACAGTGCATCCATAAAGCATTCACAGCGCTTCACTTTTTCCACATTTTGTTATGTTACAGCACTTATTCCAAAATGGATTAAATTCATTATTTTCCTCATAATTCTACAAACAATACCCCATAATGACAATGTGAAAGAAGTTTGTTCAAAATCTTTGCAAATTTATTAAAAAATAAAAAAACAAAAATATCACATGTACATACGTATTCACAGCCTTTGCTCAATACTTTGTTGAAGCACCTTTGGCACCAATTACAGCCTCAAGTCTTTTTGAGTATGATTCTACAAGCTTGGCACATCTATTTCTGGGCAGATTCTCCCATTCTTCTTTGCAGAACCTCTCAAGCTCTATCAGGTTGGATGGGGAGCGTTGGTGCACAGTCATTTTCAGATTTCTCCAGAGATGTTCAATCGGGTTCAAGTCTGGCCACTCAAGGACATTCACAGAGTTGTCCTGTAGCTTCTCCTTTGTTATCTTGTCTATGTGCTTAGGGTCGCTGTCCTGTTGGAAGATGAACCGTCGCCCCAGTCTGAGGTCCAGAGTGCTCTGGATCAGGTTTTCATCAAGGATGTCTCTGTACATTGCTGCATTCATCTTTCCCTCGATCCTGACTAGTCTCCCAGTTCCTGCCGCTGAAAAACATCCCCACGGCATGATGCTGCCACCACCATGCTTCACTGTAGGGATGTTATTGGCCAGGTGATGAGCAGTGCCTTGTTTCCTCCAGATATGACGCTTGCCATTCAGGCCAAATAGTTCAATCTTTGTTTCATCAGACCAGAGAATTTTGTTTCTCATGGTCTGAGAGTCCTTCAGGTGCCTTTTGGCAAACTCCAGGCAGGCTGTCATGTGCCTCTTATTGAGGGGTGGTTTCCGTCTGGCCACTCTACCATACAGGCCTGATTGGTGGAGCGCTGCAGAGATGGTTGTTCTTCTGGAAGGTTCTCCTCTCTCCACAGAGAAACGCCGGAGCTCTGTCAGAGTGACTATTCCATGTCACATCCCTGACTAAGGCCCTTCTCCCCCGATCGCTCAGTTTGGTCGGGCGGCCAGCTCTAGGAAGAGTCCTGGTGGTTCCAAACTTCTTCCATTTACGGAGGATGGAGGCCACTGTAGGGATGTTACATTTGACACTGAAGCTTCAAAGTGCGTATTGAGAAGGCTACGCAACGCAATTTCTCATGAAGCGCGTATTGTTTTCAGAGAAACACGTGATTAACGAAAAACGAAGCCTCACTTTCTTTCCAGTCACGTGAATGCTTCACTTTGCATGTCGGAATGTTTGAACTCTGCAGGTTTTTGGAAGTTTAAGTCCATTTACTAATATTCTTTTTTTTTTTTTTATAAATAAGCCTATAGCTTATGTTAAATGATAATATATTCTGACACATAAACAGCTTAGAAACCATAAAATAATTAGACCAACATCTACTTGCATCAAGCAACTCTGTTGGTATTTTTTATAATTAGTATTAATATAATTGTTACATTTAATTTATTGCCACACTTTAATATGTGAATTATATTATCAGAAAACTAAACATATTAGTGTTAACATGCACTGTTAACTGTGGAACCTTATATAGACAGGTGTGTGCCTTTCCAAATCATGTCCAATCAACTGAATTTACCACAGGTGGACTCCAATCAAGTTGTAGAAACATCTCAAGGATGATCAGTGGAAACAAGATGCACCTGAGCTCAATTTTGAGTGTCATGGCAAAGGCTGTGAATACTTATGTAGGCTACATGTGATCTTTTCGTTTTTTATTTGTAATAAATTTACAAAGATTTCAAAAAACTTAGTCATTATTGGGTATTGTTTGTAGAATTTTGAGGAAAATAATTGAATCCATTTTGGAATAAGGCTGTAACATAACAAAATGTGAAAAAAATGAAGCGTTGTGAATACTTTCCGAATGCCCTGTAACCAATGGATTTAATTGATTTATGTATTTTGCTGTACAGGGTTAAATATTTGCTGTAATCTATCTCTATCCCTTTATATATGATTGCATAAGTTATCTAACTCTTAAAATAGCCAACAAAATTAAATATATAATATCAGGCAATGAATTGAAGGGAAAAAAGGCAGATTTGGTGCTGATATACAGTATTGTTCATTCCAACTTTTCAATTTTAGTGGGATGTTTTGCCAACATAAATTGTGGCCATACCAACTTTGCTGGTTGGGAATGAGTGAAAGAAATGATTAGAAAATCTTCTGTTCTTCCTTAGGAGGCATTGTAACCTAATACTTCGTTTTCTGGGAGTCTGTACTTCATTGTCAAAGCAAACCGATTACATTTGGACAAGCTGTTTAGAGATGTTTTTTCCATTCCGTGATCAGTCTATGGGTATATGTTGCTTGTGTCTTACTCTATTTTTTCTATCCATTTTAGACACAGAGCAGGATGAAACTGATTACCGACAACTACGAGGATGATCATTACCACCCTCACGCTCCACCTCCCCACATGCAGCCTCAACCCCTTCATCCTCAACCCCAACCCCAGCCTCCATACCCACAGGCCCAACACCCACAGGCCCAGCACCCGCACCCACAGGCCCAGCACCCGCACCCTCAGGCCCAGCACCCTCAGGCCCAGCACCCACAGGCTCAGCACCCGCACCCACAGGCTCAGCACCCACACCCACAGGCCCAGCACCCACACCCACAGGCCCAGCATCCGCACCCACAGACCCAGCACCCGCACCAGCCTCCTTACCCACATGCGCCCCATCCCCAACACCCGCAGCCTCCTCCCCACCACCAACAACACCCGCAGCAGCCCCCCCAGCCTCAATACCCTCACCCGCAACACCCCCAGCACCCACAACCACCTGGCCCACACCCGCACCAGCCCAGACCTCAACCGCCCCACCCTCAACACCCTCATCCCGGGGTCCCTCCGCAGCAGCAGCATCCACACCCCCAGCACCCTCACGGACCACCGCCTCAGCAGGGCCCCCACCCTCAACCCATCCCACACCCGCAGCAGCACCCCCATCACCCCCCACACCCCGGCCAACAGGGCCCACACCCTCGACACCCTCCGCCACACCATCGGGGTCCAGGCCGTGGACCGCCTCATCCCGGACACCGACCCGCCCCAGACCAGGTCGGTAACTCATCTATCTTTATATTCAAATGATTTTGTTTCTATTTTAATATTAGTGTATGTGGTATGTTTTGGTAATCTTGTTATGCGGTATTGTCTTCGATAGTTCACTTTAGACATTGTTCTATAAGTAACTACAACTACCATGCCAACTCAGTCATTAGAGTATTAGCAGACTGTCTGCTTAATATCTGCTAACACTTTATTTTGACATTCTACTGACTGTAAGTAACTTTGTTAGGTGTTAGGGTTAATAGAATAAGTTGACACGTACTTGCAGTCTACTAAGGCCACGTTCACACAGCAGCAGAATACAGTTGTTAGTCCTGAATTTGAGTCTGGCTACGTTCACACACAGTTCAGTTATTTACTGGAGTGACAACCACATTCTATATCCGAACTCACACCTGTACACCTGCTCAGGTCAGTTTTGTGTTCTACACACAACTCAAATGCTCCGCTCTCCACCCAGATATAAAAGCTGCTGTAGGTTAGTGAAGATTTGACAGATGAACTCGTGGCTCGATTGGACTCTTGTCGTGACAAAAGTGATCAAACTTTTTTTAGTTTTATGGATGTCCCGATCTTGGATATTACTTTTGTCATTGTCGCTTTGTTTACTAATAAGAGAATACGGGCTTGACTCCCATTGCACGTTCATACATGTACAGACAGTATTCGAGACGCAACTGTAAGTTGCAGTTTGAACGGGACATTTTCGAGACTCACACCTGTGAGTAAAATGAGGTTGACAATCCCCAAAACTGACTGTGTGAACGTAGCCTACACTAATGAGAGAATTAAAAAAAAAATCAAATCACAATATCTGATAGTATCATCACAGCTCTAGATTAATTTGGTCTTTTCAGTAGGCGATGGATCTGTATATAATCTACTGTACAAGTCACTCACTGTAAAATATTCACTGCTCTTTCACCTTTAACTCATCTAATTCTCCTCATTTCATGCTGACCTCTGGATATATGTTGGGCTCAAAGGATGATGAAGAAGGAATTTGGGCATAACCATACCAAAGCTATGATGATGTTTTTTTGGGGGTGAGATATTGATGATCGATGTCAGTTTTCTGGTTTAAAGTGAGTTTTTGTGGATAAAGTGATTTGTGATTGTTTTTCTTATTATGTTCCTCCTTATGTTCTCAGACAATTCAGTCACTAATGGAGGAGCACAGCCATGCCATACAGATGAAATTCTACATTGTTCACTTGGCCAGTCTTTACCTACACTCAGATTCACTCTTTTGAATGGGGCCATTTATTTCCATGCATTAAGGAAAGAGGCGGAGCATTAGTGTGAGTGGGAGGGCCAAAGCTGGAGAAGACCACCTGAGCAGGTAAATACTATCAACAGAACTACTAACTGTGTCAGTCTGAAATAAAATCATTTCATTTACAAATTTAATATACACTATCATATAAAAAATATAAAAAAAACTTCCATTCAGCCAAGGGCGCATTCAGTTGATTAAAAAAGACAGCACGAATGTTTTAAACATTGATAATAAGAAATGTTTCTTGAGCAGAAAATCAGCATATTAGAATGATTTCTGAAGGATCATGTGACACTGAAGACTGGAGTAATGATGCTGAAAATTCAGTTTTTAAAATATATTAATTCATAAATTAGAATATTTCGCAATGTTACTGTTTTGTTAGCTTTTACAGTATTTTATGATCAAATAAATGCATCCCTTGGTGAGCATAAGAGACATTGTCTTAAAGATAATTATTCCATTTTGTTGTTTTTATTTCAGATGATTAAAAAAAGTATAAATGGAAGTCTGGACTGAACAAACACAGTCACTTCCTGGTGCAGCCCTTTTTCTAAAGACATTTGCCTTGAAGACTATCAATGCTCAAATCAAAATGAGACACTGCAGCTGCTCCTTGTTGTCTGGTTTTCACATACGACCAGTGCATGAATCCAGCTGGCCCCTCCCCTTCTCCACATTGCCCCGCCCACTCGGATCTAGCTCCACCTCTTCAATGAGGCAACAAGTCAGCTTGCACTCACTCAAGCCTTGACTCTTGTCAGTCATTTCTCTGCTTTTTGTGTGAAAATCCAATGTAAAATAATACCATCTTATTAACTTAATTTTTAACTTTTTTTTTACTATCACATCTGCATTTGCAGTTGAAATCTTAAAAGGGCAACTGTTGCCTGCCTTCAATTGTTTAGGTTTTATTATATGTGCTATACATATATGTACTTAGATTTGAATATTCATGTAATTTCTCTGTGCCACGTTCAGCCTCCATTGTTGGTTCTTTAGTGAATATTGGACCTTATAGAGGTGGTATCTGTCACGTCTTTAGAGTTACCTCAGTTGACCCTTAGAGGTAGTCTACTCTATGCAGAGTTCATTTCGTCTCACCAATTATAACGCACATAACATACACCATGCTAACCAGAATTTGCCCTTTCTTTTTGCTTGTGCTCCACCCCAAACCCCAAGCCCGGTTTGCGTGTTAGCTCTCATGCACCTATGCACCTCCACCCCTTACAACAGGGAACGTTTCTTATGGTGCTTCAACTGGTGCTCAGGCCCAAAAGAGATGGAGACAGCCATGGCTACAATCATTTTCGGACATCAACTGATCTGTAACTACATCCATGGCGCCATCATACGAGTTCTTCGGAAGATAATTGAGATGGTTTCCCAAGAAACTGCTATAGGTTGTAGTTGTATGTCCCACAAAATGAATTTTGTCAAGATGTCTGTTGACAAGGCCAGTCCAACCTGAGTGTCCCGTAAAGGGAATGTCCTTTCTCCTTTAACGAACCGTCCCACCAGGTACTGGCGGAGCTACCGCAGATTTGTTGTAACGTCTCAACATGGTGGCGAGTGCCTATTTATAAATAGATAGTAGATATATAGATAGAGATATATAGCTAAATAAAGTGGGTCTACTGTGGTCAGACTATTGTGTCAGAAATCAAAGGAAACTTCTTTTCCGGTGTGTTTGAGTTGTGTGTGTTGTCGTTGTCTGTTTGGCCCTCGCACTGCTCTCATTACAAGATCTTGGCATTGGAGTCTGTGCAACAAAAAGGTCTTTTGCTGAACGTTTGCGGAATCTAGTTTCTTGACCTTCAGCTAGACAGTGTTGTATAGAATATGTTGCACCTCACAAAAAGAACAAAAAAATTAAAACGGCAATGAGTTCTTAAAAAAAAAAACTCAGCTCAAGCGCACTTGAGGGTAAAGCTGCATTCATGCTGAAAGCAAACAGCAGTCTTTTATTTGGTGAATTTTATCGCCGTCAGTGTGAAGGCACCTTAAAGGGATAGTTCACCCAAAAATACAAATTCTGTCATCATTTACTCACCCTCATGTTGTTCCAAACCTATATGACTTTCTTCAGTGGAACACAACACCGAACAATTCCGGTTCCCATTGACTTCCATTGTACAGTATGATCAAAAAATATAATGGAAGTCAATGGGAACCAAAATGTTTGGTTACCAACAGTCTTCAAGTTCAAAATGTCTTTGTGTTCCAGATAAGAGAGAAAGTCATACAGGTTTGGAATGACATGAGGGTGAGTAAATAATGACACAATTTTTATTTTGGGGTGAACTTTTTCTTTAAGAAACTTCAAAATATTCAAGTGGAAGATTGTTTTAAGATGGCTGAGATATGTGAACAGTTGTTTTGCATTGTCTTATGTGTCATTTCACTGCTGTTGTCTGTAGTTGTGGAGTTTACATTAGGACTTTGGCGAAGCCCAAAATATAGCCAAGATCTGACTGTTAAAATGACCTGTTTGTGTTTCCATGTTGCGTTTAACATACTCAATTTTCAGACGCCTTCACGTTAGTTCCAGATCGTTACGCGTCTCTGTTCTGGAACGTTCCGGAAACACCATCCTTAATCTGCGTTCACATTCTGCCGGAATTACCGCAATTAAAATATTCTGAGATTCTTTAGGCTCAGAAATTCATTTTTATGGCAATGCTCAAACCTTGAGGAACAAAGAAAGTGCATTGTGCAACTTAAAATGACATGAAACTATATGTAGTTTAATGGTAAGCTAAAGGTAATTGTTGAGGTCGCTCATTTTGGTCGTTATGAACACGTCACAATGAGCTAGTCAGAAACTTCCCGGTAATTCTGTCATGATGTGAACGCATCATTGTCGCTCGGCTCTAGAATATTCCTACGTTGCTCTCTTGAACATTTAACTATTGTGGTTGAAGAACACAGATCCAGAATATGTCCACCATGTGAATACTGCTCCGTCTTGGATGTTTCTGAGTCCAGTTTCAAACACCAGAAAAGTGTTTGATCTGATATTCTAATATTTATGTGCGTCTGTCTGTCTGTTGTGCAAGTCTATAATTGTACTATTAGGCAAAGCAAGAGGACAAAAAATAAAAAGACATCAGACTTTACCTTCTTGGAGACATATTGCAGTCCTCCACCTTCAGGACCTTTTACTACTGAATACTTGAAGTAGGGGGGTGATCTCCTGCCTTGGGAAGAGATACGTATATTATACAGAACAAAGAAAAAAAGAGAAATGTTGACTCATGTGGTGATGATGCATGATTATGTACATTATGTGCCAACTCTGGGCTGTGGTGAAGACAGGTCTAATAGATCTCTATACGCAGAAATAAATATCGAAAGAAAGAAGTTTCAGCCCTGTAGGCTCAAGACGTATATATATCAAACAAAGGGCCTCTGGTTAGAGAAAAGGTCCAAAATAAAGAGAACAAAAATGATTATATTTATATTTGTTGTGTGCCAGTTGCATTGTTTCTTTTATTTCATGATGTCAAAAAAATGCAAACCTCTGGATAATACAAACCACTGTGACAAATGCCAGAAAAGAAATAGTAAATCTAAGAAACATTGTTTTTACTTTTTTAAGATGTTTATTTATGTTATGTTTTTTTATGGTTCATGCTTTTTTTTTTTTTTTTTTTTTTTTTTGAATATGTCAGTTTGGAACTGTAAGATTTGTACATGAAATTAGTTTACTTTTCTTTTTCTGTACAGCAGTCCAATGTGAGTGTCAGCATGCTGAATGATACCGTGTGAACGTGGGGTTCATTTGTCCATGTTGCATCAGTCGTCGCGGATGAGACGCATTGGCATCATGATGGTGTAATGTGTTTGAGAATGGTGTGTCCTCACCCACATCTTCCCGCCCACTGCCAGTGGATTGCCCGTGCAACAAAATAAAAGCGTTCGCATGTTTTCGGGGAGCAGATCTGAGACGCTAAAAGAGTGTGGGATATGCTTGCATGATTGTCTGTGTATGCAAATAAGATTGTTACAGGGTGTGAGTGGCTGAGTGCGTGTTGCAGAAAGTTAGCGGTGCAAGAGCCTCGGAGGCGTTCGGTGTGAAATCTGTGTCATGTTCGATGTTTTTAAACCCTGTTGGGCTTTACTCAGAGTCCTTAACCTCCCTGATATTTGCTATTGTATGTGTTGTATCCCCCAACTATTCTTGAGTGTCAGTCGGCTTGTTTATATCCATTAAATAAAAGTGACTTTCTTTCTGATATGCTCTGTTTCCTTTAAAACCACAAATAAAAGTTTATTAGTTGAAGTCCACAGAGTGTTTTACAGTGTCCTCGTAAAAGTTCATTTTATATCAAACACACTATTGTTCAAAAGTTTGTTGACAGTGAGGTTTTTATTTTATTTGGGAAGGCCATTACATTGAATTTGTTTTTTAAAAATTGACAAAAAGTCATTTTACAAAACAAAATCACAGTTTCCACATAAATATTAAGCAGTACAGCTATATTTAACTTATTATCAATGTTACTTCAGCAGTAAATCAGCATATTTTAATGCTTTCTACAGGATCATGTGACTGAAGAAGACAGGAGAAACAATGCTGAAAATTCAGCTTTGCATCACAAGAATAAATTACGTTTTAATATATATCCAAATAACTATTTTAAATTGTAATAGTATTTTACAGTATTGCTGTTTTTACTGTATTTATTATCAAATTAAAGCAGCCTTGGTGAGCATCTTCTTTCGAAAACATAACCTTACCAACCCCAAACTTTTGAAAGGTAGTGCACATTTATTACGTTTAGAAAATAAGCTATTATAGCATATGTGACATCTGTAGTCTCTCCTATAACATCCTTTTATTTAAAGCTGCTAAAAGCAATTCACCTAAAAATGATCACAGTGCACCATAAAATAGTTTTATTTAGAGTTGATAAACTTGTGGACTCGATTCTTTCTCAGGTTTGTTCTCAAATTACCTAAAAAATACAAATTGAACTTTCTTTTCTCTGAAGCCTGCAGCGTTTTAGACTCCTTCCAGAAGTAGATATCAAAAATAATCATGTTCCACCTAATCGAAAGAACTTTTCTTAACCAGTTAGTGCAATGCTGTTAGGCTAAACTGTTAGTTTGCTACCTAAAAACACAAAAAATACAATAAAAAAATGACATCATATCTGGTTCAAAGCTCTTGCTAGTGCTCCAATTCCTATTAATCAAAAAAGTTATTCCCGATACAGGGCAACTAGTGAGTGGAATGAGATTTTTCTTTCTTTCTTGTTGCTTGGGCCATTTGATCTCAACATACATTCATCTCATTGTGTAAGAAATGGCCTAACTCAAAAAAGTTGCAGACTTTGCAGAAAACATAACTGCCCCTTTTGTATTTATCTCCCCTTTAAGATGGAATCTATCAGTCGGTCGCTCTTATCAGAGAGCCAGTATCCAGCCATGGCCCCCACGGCCCCCATAAAGATGGAGGTGAACACCAAGTCCCCTTTAGCCGCCAACGTGGCCAATGCGCACAACACCACCCCGAAGAACATCTGCTGCAGAACCTCCATTTCATCCTCCTGAATGTCATCAAAAAAACCCTTTTCTGCAGAATCTGAGAAAAGATACAGAAAAATACAGAAACATACAAGACCATATTTAAAAAAAAAAAAAACATGCATTTCAATTATTCAGTTTAAATGCAGTGTCGTTAAAATTACATAAAACCAGTTGGTGAAAAAATATGATATAGATATCAATGAAACACTTATTTTTGTTTTTTAAGAATAATGTCCATTGATGAATTATGCACTGTAAGTGGAAAGTACACAGGAACATTTATTACTAAAGTAACTAAAGTTATATTTTATAAATATATTTTCAGTAACACTTTAACATTAGTTCACTTTAACAATGAACAATATTTGTACAGCATTTATTAATCCAGCATTTATGTTCATTTCAACATTTACTACATTATTAAAATCAAGTCGCAGCATTTAACATTAGTTAATGCACGGTGAACTAACATGAACAAACAATGAGCGACTATTTTTATTAACTAACTTAAACAACGGTTAATAAATGCTGTAAAAACAATATTGCTCGAAGATAGTTCATGTTAACTAATGCATTAACTAATGTTAATGAATGAAACTTTCACTTTCGTTTAACAGCATGTTGGCTCCCAAGAGAATAAAGTTGCATGTAGTACAGGCACAGGCAACTCAAGAACACAAACTGAATGAATATGAAATGAATACTTTCTCTCATATTATGTAACAAGCACAATACACTGAGTTACATGAAACTGCAAAGGTCTTTTGGGCCAGATCTAATTCAGCGTTTGAAGTTCACAGCAGGCTTTTATAGTTAACTAAAACTAAAACCACAATAAATATTTTGGTTACACTTTATTTTAAGGTGACAGTTACATTGTACTTACTCAAATAAGTACTCAGTAATATCAATTAACTACATGTAGAGTTACGGTTAATCTAGAGTAGACGTACTACACTCGCCATGTTGTCATTATCATGTGATCTACCAGCGTGAGTTACGTCACTTCACTGCCATTCATTAATCCTCTCCCGTGGCCTCATGGGACAGTAAAGTGTCCAATGTATGCACACTTCAGAATCTCACAGGAAGAAGTAGGTCAGTACTTTTTGCCCACTGTTTTATGAGCACAGTGAATTCGGACATACTTCTTTTGTAACATACTGTTTTTCGCCTACTGTATAGTAGGGAAGTGTGCGATTTGGGATGCAGCCAATGCTTCCAGCTCACCTGTGGTCTGGCTCCTCTCACAGGTTTTGCCGGTGCGTGTGTATCCGCCTGCGCACTGACAGTGAAAAGACCCTTCTGTATTCACACAGAAGACATTGACACCAGGACAGGCCAACACCTCTTCACCACACTCGTCTATATCTGCAGGAGAAACACAATACAGCTGTCTTTTCTCAAACACACACAACCAGTAGAATGCTAACTGAAAAATTAGGAGGAGAAAAGATAAACATCTTGACAATTATAAAACAGAGACATTTATATTATTCCAATATACTAATGATAAAAAATATATATTTTTAAATTGTTAACTTTCTTGCTGGAAACACGTATTATAGCCACAAGATGGTAGCATTTCATGCTGAAGAACTAATTTGTGTCATTAACTAAGAGATTAATTCTCTGTTCATAGATTTTTCTTGAACAGCAGCAAATGCATTCACATGTATTCATCTGATTAATACATTTTATTTATTTATTTTATTAAGTATTCCTTTTTATTAATCTTATCAATCTCTCTTTTTTTGTAAATTTTAGTCATTGATAACTATTCATTTAATCATTATTAATTGTTATATTCCTTATGTTGCATTTTTATCATTTTACATGTTATTCATTCATTTATATATTTTCTACTATATGCTTTAATATGTTTGATTATTTCCACATGTAAGATCTTTGATGTCTCTTCTGTGGTGTAAGATCGAGTGGGTGTATTTTCCATCAGAATGTAATATGCGATGTACCTTTGTATCAAAATATCTGTTTCCATCTCTGCAGACACGAGATAATGCAAGATCTGCAATATTCTCTTGAACGACACCTGTCTATTTTCATCTATATTTGACATTTGACCTAGCCTTTACACCAACTTTGACATAATGGATAAATCGGTTTGACCTTTTCTTATAGACCAAAACATAAGTTAAGGAGGATGCAAGTTTCCTGCATTTATATTCGTTGCTCTTATTTTGCTCTTCACTTCTGCCTCTCCTTTCATTCTTCAAATATCTTACTACTTTTGGGTCCTTCTTCCTCTATACTCATCTGTTAGATTCAGTACTCTGGATTTTATTTTAAACTATTGAATAAGATAGATCTTATTTTTGTTTAAACCTATTTGCTAGTACAATTTTCATATTTACTTAAATAATTTTTACTTAATACATGTGTTATTCCTTTTTCAATTTTGATCTTTGACATAATCATTGCTTGTCTGGATCTCATTGCATCAGAAACTATAATATATTTTAAATGATTTACTCCTGCTATTAATATTACTGTATGTCAATCAAGATAAAGGAACATCTTTACATTATTCAGCCAAACAAAGCAGATCTACCATTGGACTCCTAAAAAAAAAGACATAGAAAGTACTTAGAATTTCAACTTTATTTAAAATTCTATTCTTTGTATTCTTACATTTACAACACTGATGTTTGTCCAAATTGTTGGCAGAATTCAGCCGGCAAGAATCTCAAATGTGAATCTTTTGTGGACCTGATTCTTTCTCAGGTTTGCTTTCAAATTACTTTAAAAAATACAACTTGAACTTTCTTTTCTCTACAGCCTTCAGCGTTTTAGACTCACTCAATCATGAAGTGAATGAGAATATCATGCATTCTCTGGCTGTACAACAAAGATTCTGTTCTTCTGTTTAAAGCTTCTGTGAACTTTAAAAAAAGTTAAAAGCTTCTGTTCAAAGCTTCACAGTCAGAGAATGCATGATATTTACTTCTGGAAGGAGTCTAAAACGCTGCAGGCTTCAGAGAAAAGATTTGTATTTTTTAGGTAATTTGAGATCAAACCTGAGAAAGATTCGAGTCCACAAAAGTTTATCAACTCTAAATGCACCATGATATCAAAATGGACAATTCCGATTCAATTTGTTTATGGAATATTGCAGTATTTATTATAAATGGTTCATCCATAATTGTTTTTAAATTCATGTGCCCTTGTACTCTTTAATCAAAATAACTTCCCCTCCCTCCACCAACAACATCTCGGCTGGTCCGAAATCGCACACTTCCCTAACAGCATGTGACAAAAGAAGTACAGTATGTCCGATTTCACAGTACTCATAAAAGAGCAAAAAGAACCCGGATGACCTACTACGTCCTGTGAGATTCTGAAGTGTGCATACGATGGACACTTTACTGACCCATGAGGCCACGGGAGAGGATTGGTGAATGGAAATTTGTGAACTGACACTGGTACTGTAAGTCACATGATAATGACAACATGACGAATGTAGTACGTCCGGATTACTTAATTAATAGAACATATAATATTTTTAGCACTCGCAAAGTTCTTATTAAAAAAAAAGTACCTACTCAAGAGAGTATGCGATTTCAGACAGCCATTTTCTCTTCTCTGATGATGTGTTTACTGGCGCGAGGGCGAGACTATATAAGCAGCAGTTACCATGTCATCTCATTGACAAATTCTTCCGGCAGCTCAGTCCAGTAAATGATCTCTATCCACTAATGCGCAATTCCATCATAGGGAGGTTTTAACTCAGAGCTCAAGCCAAGCCTCGGGTTCCAGCCTCCTCCAAGGACAGCAAGCCAAGTTAGTTTACTATTAACCTTTAAGGCTGAATGGGCAGGTGAAATAGTGGATTCATTTTATACTCCTAGTTATATTTTATACTGATAAACGACACTAGTTATATGGACTACAACTCACCGATGCATCTTATGCCTGATGACCTGAAACCAGGAGCACATTTCTTACAGCGGGCAGCTCCTCCACCCATACAGCCAACACAGGCCTTGTCACATCCTGGAGAAATCATAAAACAATATAAACAAAATAAAAGGAAAACAGTGTTATCAAGAGTGTTACTCTGGTTAATCCGTTAATACCTCTGAGAGGAAATCCCACTGACCTTTGCATGCATAAGAGCCATGGGTGTTCAAGCTGTACGTGTTGTCGGGACACCGATCCAGATCAGTACCACATTCATCAATATCTGTCGACGTAAAAGAAGTGAACCTCTGAATGAAAATGGAGCATGAGGTGAATCAAACGCACACTCTGTTGATCATCTTACCCACACACAGGTTGTCATGCAGGATGAATCCGCTGTGGCACTGAAGACATTGGTCTTTCTCTGGCCCTCCACATGCCTTGCAGTGCTCTGAGCAGTTCTGACCCAAAATGAAATGAAAAAGGGCCACGACGAGCACAGTAGAAAGGAGGAACATCCGTGAGCGGGACATCACTCTCCACGCATTAGTGCAACCCTTCAGACTCCCACTTTCCTCAAAGTATAAGCTGATACGGAGACGTTCAAATTAAAACTCCTTGTGACGTCTGATGATTTTAAAAACAGGAATTTGTTTGAGGATAAAAAAGTTAAATTCATTTACAAAAACTTTTAACAATTTTAAGGTGTGATCTTTTATCCAAAGCAGCAAATAATTATATTATTTAAAGTGTTTGAGGTGTAAGAACTCTATATGTTAAATAAATTAGGCCACTGCTTTTTATCAATTATGATTTTAGACATTATAGCTTAACTGTTATTTCAGATGTTTCTAATCATTTATTAGAATTTGTCAAAACATACAATTCAATATTGGTGCTTGACTTATATTTTACCCAAATACTTTCTATAGGCCTATTACTTTTTTGGAGTGTGAGACGTGAGTATAAAGTTATATAGAGTTTTGGTAACACTTTATTTTACGGTGATGTTAGTTAGGTTACTACTATTAATAACAGTAAATTATGCATAATTACAAGTAAACCCTAAATCAAATCCTAATCGTAAATAGTAAGTAAGTAGGCTACATGTTAATTAATACAGTAGCCTAATTATTTAAGTAGCCTACAATGTAACTACGTCACCTTAAAATAAAGTGTAATATAAGTTTTTAATTACGATATTTGTTTAGATTCGTAAAAACTGTTAACAGGAAAATTATATAGGCCTAGGCTATATTTTAACGTTATTTTGATGCGTTAAAACGAAATCGATAAGCAGAACGCTAAAGTTTAGACAAGTTCAGCATGGAATTCATATTTGAAATACTCACAAACATGCGACATGAGAACCGAGAGTGGTCGTTGGGATGTCCGTAAAACCAGTTTGTCCAGTTTCCGCTCTCTCTCTCTCTCTCTCTCTCTCTCTCTCTCTCTCTCTCTCTCTCTCTCTCTCTCTCTCTCTCTCTCTATCTCTCTCTCTCTCTCTCTCTCTCTCTCTCTCTCTCGTGCGCCGTTTGATGGATAATTACAAATTCTATTATATGAATATTGCATAGGATATTCAAGCATCGACTGATAAACGAAAAAGCTTGCTCATTAAAAAATACGGGGTGCCGTGACAAATTGACAATCCTTTAGTGGTGATGCGTTGGCTCATGAATATTAAGAGAACGTCTTCGCTAAATGAACAACTGCTTCCTATGGGAATCACAAATTGTTGACCAGCGCGGAGAAAAATAACACACACCACGTGACATGACTACATCGAATAGGCTAAACGTTGCTTCATGGTCATTCTGGATTTTTTTACCTAGGCTACTAAAGAAAAAGTCTCTGGTTTTTAAAATACACAATAAAGATACACAACAATTATTGTTTAGATCAATTATACCTGACTTTCGATTCACCAAGTCTTTTTCTCTGTTTCTAAAGAACTTCTCTTCAGTCATGAACGCGCATAACCAGTGCAGCCGGACGTCGCGCGCGACACACTCGGAAGTGACAGCGTGTATTTTTAGCAGTGGGTCTGGTGCTGTACACTATTTGTATGCTGTTCCCCTCCTTATCTCCTTTTTATAGACTTGCCTGATGGTCTGGTCTAAGTTGGTGTTCGACTGTGGTTGGCCAGTCTGACCAGCTGAAGCATGGCCCAAATCTTTTTAAAACCAGCAAACAGACTGTGAAACCAGAGAAGTCTAGCTAGTTTTTCATTTATTCAATTCCACTCAAGTCAACCCATGACAGAACACTAAAAGCTCCAATAAACTGTATAATTGAGTACAACTAGAGCATTTAAAATGCATGACATTACAAACGTTCAGTTAACAGAATAAGCCATGTTTAGCCTACAAAATTTATGTAGCCTAATTAAATATATTAGCAAAAATCCAGTGAATTATTTACAAACACCATGTTAGAGCTGAGATGAAAAAGATCAATTAGAGGTAACATCTTTCCAAATATAAAAATATATGAGTAGGCAATAGGCATTATAGGCTACATATTCTAGAATAGCCTATGTAAGCATAGTGATCTCTTTTAATTTGCAGTGCATTTATCCATTTCATTCTTCATTTACTTCATGTAGCGTCTGTACTTTGAAATTTCCTCATGTGCTCATGGACATGCAGACTTCCTTCTTAATCAATCCTCTGAGGTTATATGCAGGTATTGTAGGCTTAAATACAATATCTATACCATATCATATAGCACTTCATGATGTGATGGTGCACATGTCTAAAAATCTTTAGTATTTCCATACGCAAAGAGAAACGTGACAATACCATGTTTTAAAGGACGTGCTATTACCATGCTATTCTGGTACATGTATGTAGTCTGTCCATAGTCCATAGTGACAGACATTTTAAAAACAATGTTCTGCTGTGATGAGAGAGAGTACATGACCATGACATGTCAGTGCTGTTCATTTTTGAGAAAAACTCTTTCCTCAGTGTCTTCTGTGTCTAGGCTGAGTGAGTCACTTTGAGTGAGCATGGTATCAGTCCTCGCCCTCGTCGTATTAGAAATGTTCTGCACTCCTTTGGCCAGCTTCCTCCGTGCCCTTTTTATCCACCACATCTTCTTCAACTTCCCACAAACATTATTTGGGCTCTCCAAACATAGCTCCATAAGTAATCCCTGAGACTGTGAGGGCAGTTTATAGAGCGGCAGGCCCCTGAACAACACTGGCAGCTCCTCTTTAATGAGAAGTTCCTGACACTCTAACTGCACATGGACGAACCGCTGAGCAGCGCCGCCCTTCTGGCGGTCAGCTAAAATGCAGGCCAGGGCCGAAGCCAGCGTATCTGAGGAGTATGTTGCAGGATTGCTTTGTTTTTCCACTGCAATGTTCCAGTAGCACTCGGCTCTTTGTAGTGTTGATGGACAAAGCAAAAGAAGGGCTTTGCCTCCGTATTTCTGGATGTGATCGAGCTTGGAGTGGAGCCACGCTGCCGGGCCGAGAGAACCAAGCTCTGTTTGGTTCCACAGGTCGAGAAATACTTCGAAACCCAGCTCAGAAAGCAACTGGCCCAGCCTACACACCAACTGTGGGTCTGTGGCTGAGGAATGGAGCAACAACACCTGTCCCTTCATATCTAGAGAGAGAGAGAAGAGGTAAATTAAGTAAGATTAAGACAAAAAAAAATTGGAGAACTTTCCCTCTTCTTACAGACAAATGCATAAACAGCTTGTGTACCTTGAGAATGGCATCTGTCCCATTCGCTAGGGGACCCTGTGAGAGAGACATACAAGAATGTATAATCGCATCAGAAAAAATCATGTTGAAACCATTGAACTAAACTTAGTGTTAGACACAGAAAAGGCCAAGATGGATGAAAGAACAGAAAATGAGACATGAAGGAGGAGAAGAGACAGACAAAGAGCATGCTGAGATGGAATAAATGTGTTCTACACAGATCAGCACTAAAATATGTGCCCTTGACAGACACATGAATAGAGCCATTGAGAGCAGAGAGACAAATGCAAAATGGACACAGAGTCTGTCCGGTCAACATCTCCAAAACCTCAACAAAAAACACAACTTTCTCTTCAAATCTTCTGGGCTCAGTAATATAAAGTTTCTGATCAGTTGTACTCTGGCAGAACAGTAGTTATTTAGCATAAAAATGCTGAATTTACTTTATAATCGTTGACACAACGATATATAATAAAGTAACTGAGTTTATATATTGGCTTATGGATTTTTTAATAGCCAATGGCAATATAGAAAGCAGGGTGACAAGTCGTTAAAATAGCAGCGATCTATTAATATAAAAAAAGTGATATATATAATATATAAAATGAATATATATATCATGGTGAATGACAGATTTTTGTAAAAAAAAAAACACAAATACATTATTCATATACATAATTAAATAAAAATATATACAAAAAGTCATTCTATACATTGTGTTGTTTCTTTGTTGCTGAGAGGAAAACGTCTTATTATATAAATAGAGATGCTTTAGACTGTAAAGACTTACATTTCAGTTTGTTCACCAGAAGAAGTACTCCAAAAATAGTCAGACAAACAAGGATCAGCGGTAGAAGAACAAGAAGGCTCCAGTACTGCCGATCCACTAAAACAACAATACACCATGAAACAACTGATAACATCTGTCATATATTCAGTACAGCAAATGTTGGTTTTAACACATTGACCACACAAGCATCACCATGATCAAATGACAATGAATGGAAGCTTTAATTAAACAGGATATACATGTTTTTTTCTTTTCATAAACTTACAGCGATGTTGACAGTACTGCACAATCTTTCCATCCACTTTAACCTGCAGACAAACACACAAACAATGAATAATGTTTGCCATGTTCATGATCTGTTTGCACTAAAATGAATTCAAACTAAGGAAATTAAAAAGGGAGATGATACCATACCTTCACACAGAGCTGCAGGTGATTCCGAGACGTGATGTTCACAAATTTCCCGGATGCCTGCAGAGCAAATAGCATTATAGCAAACCACTTTTTAACCAGATGGAAAAACAATTATTGGCTTTGACCTCAGTCTGAGAGTAGATGTGATATTCAATTTCACATAAATGAAAATGAAACCAAACAAGATAGCATCATTCAGCTTCAAAAGTCTGAGATCACTAGTGAAAATGCTTCTATTTTGCCTTCTTTCAGATTTAGATAATACAAAATTGTTCATTACTAATTATTACAACAACAACGAAAAAATAGGTAACACTTTATTTTATTATTATTATTATTATAAAAGATCGACTCGATTACGTCATTTGCGGTGCTTCATGGGAATAGGCAGAGCTAGCTCTTTTTTTTCTCTCACTAATTGGTGGAATTTTCTGTACAGCATCATGGGTAATGTAGTTTTACACCATGGATTCTGCTGTTCAATTTTATACGAAAAATTGATATGGGCTGACAGGTTCAACAGAAGCAAATATCATCCATTAACAACCTTGTAGCTCACAACAATGCTGTCTTTAGAGGTTTTTAAGTTATTGTTAAAAATGTATTTCCCAATGGAGAAAATGAATGGAGGTAACCGACTGTTGCACTCTGTAGACAAGAACACTTGGTTTGTGATTTATTGAACGGACAGTATTTCTACTGTCTCAAGCTTCATTCCATTCATGTCAAATTTGACATATTCCCATATATTTACCCATAGCATTGTGCTGTTTTCCTCCCAATCCTTCAAGTGCTGCTGCCTGAATCCTTTCATTTCTCTGCATTGTCCATCTGCCTCGAGCTGACACGGCCACAGTTCAGCACTTAACCTACAGGGTACCGTTAAGTTCCAGCTCATCACCGGCTCATCATCGTTTGTCTTGATGTGGGCCACAGACACTGACATGTTTCTCAGGACATTAGCTCTAAATTCTGCAGGAGAAAAACATTGTAGGTAGACAGAATATATGAATATGGCATTGAACATCCTCCAGATCTAAGACACTAATGTTAGCTTTTATTTTCAAGAAAACCGCAGATCTTAGATCAGTATGGGGTTTTTCTTGCAAGATGGCCTCAAGATGACTTAAATTGATTTACAATATAAGATATAACAAACATTAAAATAAGCCAAAGCAACTTCTTGTTTTAATTCAGACCCACAACAACTGTTTGTCTTTTTAAAGAACCAGGGTTCCCACTGTCTTGAGAACCCTGGGTGTACAGTATGAGGTCTAATTTTAAAATTGTGGTTTCTAGAAATGGAAAAGTCATTTATTTTGATGATTTATTTAATGCCCAGCTAAAAAAAACTTCTATCAGGTAGAAAAAGAAACATACAAAATATATAATTTTACAAACTATTTTTTTTATTAATCCTTAACATATAAAAATATTATATTTTTATTTTAAATATATACTTTTATTAATCCTTATCCTTAATCCTTATCCAGAAAATCCCGAACAACTAGAAAAGTCATGGGGCCATTAGTGGAATTTTGTTGTGGTTTTACCTGTTTTGTTGTTTTCAAAGGGACAGTATTCTGAACGAGCTTTATTCTGATCTTCATTCCAAGCCTAAAGTGTATGCACAGACAAAGGGCATGTTAAAATAATGTACAAATGTGTTTTAGCTAGTGTAGTACTCAAGATCGGTCTTTCTGAGGGTCTTGGTCTTGTCTCGGTCTCGTCCACATTTGTACTCTTTCTTGTTTCGGTCTCAGACACACCAGGAAAGTCCGATAGTTCACTTGCTGTGGTCCGGACCAAATAATTTTTTTATTTTTTTTTTGGTACGGTTCGCTTTCACACTGCTCTTTTTGCAAGTGAACCAAAATTTGTAAACAAAACCACACATGTGCTAAGGTCGTCCATTCATTGGACAAGGATTCTCAAGTAGGGAAATCAGGAAGTGCAAAAAAGGCTCAGCATGGAGATATTTCGTACAGCAATATATTTGTTATTTTACTAATTTTGTGTAATTCTGTACAAACGCAATATGAAGAAACTGCGCAGAAGACGGGTAAGGTATAAAGTTTTCATTCATAGAGAGGGGCTATGTTCACACATTCAAATAATGAGATTCTTATTGTATATACTGCTAACAAGTGCTGTCAATGTTAACGCTTGCGATTAAGTTGGTCCAGTTTAACGCAACATCATCCTTGTATTGTAACTATCGTTACATTATATGAACTGCAAAAGCATCTATGCGCGATTAGACTAAAGAGAACGCTCTGTATGTGAATGTCCTGATGCACACACTCATTCATTCATTCCATTCCAATGACGCACACACGACGCGCAGAAAGACGCGCAACAGTATCGTGTGGCCAGACAGCGTGCTGGAATGGAATTCTCTTTCGCACTTGAACAACAATAACACAAACCATTATGCCAAAATCTCCGACTACGGAAGCCTGTTAACTCAAAGGCGCAGTGCTTTCTTGCAATTGGGTCGGTTCATGTTCACACCGTAAACGAACCGTACCAGAGTTCGTTTGGAACCGTACCGAGACCACCTCTTCAGCTGGGTCTCGGTTCGGTTGTTTGGTCCGCACCCGAGTTCGATTGCTGTATTCACACCTGCCCAAAAGGTCCGCACCAAGGGGGTAAACGAACTAGAGTTCGATTCAATCGAACCAAACAAGGCAGGTGTGATGGTCTTTTCTTGGTCTCAACACACATTGGTTTTGGTTTTTGTCTCTTTGTCGGTTTAAATGGCCTTGACTACAACACTAGTTTTAGCAGGCATTGTTGTGAGTGTGTGCAAGGATGTTTGAAAAGTACCTGGAAACACATGCAGTCAGTGATTGACACCAGTGGAATGCTGTTATTTGCCAAGAGCTGAGAGAAAAAAAAGGTATGATAAGTTACATAGAAAAGGCAGCTGATGAATAGAACAAACTGGTTTGCATAGTAAGCGCAATGAGCCTTCAGACATTATTCGCACAGAAGTAACGTGAAAGTTAACTGACCCAGCATTTGCCTTCTCTTCCACGTTTCATACACATAAATGGGGGTTTAGACGATTCTTTATCCTCATTGGCTACCAGGACCTTAACCACACCATCATGTCTCTCAATGATGATCCTGGGACCTAAAAATTATGGAAATCCATCCAAACATGGAGTATTAAATGTGCACATCCATAAGCAATAAGCAATAAGATAAGCAATTCAATGAATCCAAACATACCTTTACACTGCTTTATGTCTTTGAGCTCTGGTGAGGAACATACTGCCAAGAGAAAAAAACATATTACTGTAACTACACATGCTGACATGTTACTGATTGGTCAATGAAAACATCATCGATGCTTGCATGTGCCCTTCAGCATAAATAAATAGTTTAAATAACAAGGCTGCATATTGTGAAATGATATTATGATCTAAAATACAATGTTTTATATATATATATATATATATATAGGCCTATATATATATTATTATATTTTATATATATATATATATTTCACAATTTTATTGTGATTTATTCCTGTGATTCATAATATTACTGTTTTTACTGTGTGTTTGTAAAAACAAATATTACTGTGTTCAACATGCAGCCTTGGTGAACGTGAAAAAACAAATTATTATTCCAAGTTTGGACCCGTAGTCGTGTATGTGTATATAGAGTGAGTAAAAGCAACTGCTACCTATTTTTAATGCAGGGATATCAACTTCTCGTGACTGACGGGGCGACACAACTGTGATCTCCATGCTTCTGCCAAAGTCAACATCTTCATACTCCACCAGAATCAGCTGCGTGACACAAAATTAAACGCTGAGATTAAAATCAAATCACCATTTTATGCAAAGATTTTCTTCACCACTGCTTAAATCTGGATTTTCCGGTAATTCTGCATTTTTTCACTGTTTACTTTTGCAATGTACAATAAACCTGACAATTTGAACTTGCCTGGCGTGCTAGAAATATTTATATAAATATAAAATAAAGTATTCATTTAAAAGTTTCAAATACTACACTGTCATCATTACTAGTACAAATAAATAATTCGGTCAAGTTACTCATGCTTATTTATTTAATGAGAATTTGTAATACTTTTGCTTTTTGAAAAATGTAGTGTACAAGCAATCCAGCCTCACAGATCAGGCCACAGAGGAGAGCGATATGTGAAGATGAAATGAACACGGAGGTGACAGACACTCACATTGAGAAGTTTGTGAGTTGCAGCAGAAGTCATTGTGAAGTCTAATCTCTTGCAGCGCTCTTGCTGCCTTTCTGCTGATATGTAGCATATCGTAACTACATGAAGAGAAGACAAAGAGTCAAGCTTTATCAATGCACTACATGGCAAACCATAGTCTTTCATCAAAAGCATACTGTGTGAGAAAATGTAAGCTTGCTTAAATCCATTAGCAATGATAAAAAAATGGGGGGGATATTTTGAGGTTCACTTGGCCTACCTTGATATGGGTCTTCACGGAGAGAGTGTTCCTTCTGTTAAAGTGAGTGAGGCGTTAAAGGTTTTAATTAAAGATGAAATCGAGTCCGGACACATTATTTTTTCAAAATAAAATTGAAAATGTTGTTATGAATGAACAAAAGCTTACTCTTCGACCTTCTGGTGTGTTGTTTGGCGTGGAAACGCATCTTGAATCCAATTCTCCTGAAATTAGAAAAGTTTGTGATTATGTAAACCATATGTTTGTGTACTACGTTAGACCAACAACTGCTGCTAATATGAGGACTTACCACTGTTTTCATCTTCATATTCTGATCCCTCAATATCGCTGTCCTCTTCATCCTCAGGATCTGGAGAAATGCTCAAAGAGATGTAGCTCCACAAGCATGGTGTACAATCCTTCCCATGACAGCACAATTTTGGCGTCACGTCCAGAGAACACACAAACGCACGACCATAGTCCACATCGTGAACTCCGAGAGGTTCTGTATGTCTCACACTGCAGTTTGAAAGAGCCTAAAAACAAAAACTTGGGTTATAATCTGATCAATATCTTGCTTGCCTGTATTTTCTAATAATATTTGTATTACCATTTGCATTAATGCTGTTTGACATGTATTATTGGTTGGCCAAGGGTCAAGGTCAGGTCAAGTTGCTCATACTTATTTATTTACTTACAATTTTACATTTTTACTTATATGTACTGTTTTAAATGATATAATATAATATAATATAATGTATGGTGTTTTGTGAACTGGCCACCGTGATGTTGATATTTTATATTTATAGTATTTAATATTTAAATGAATACAAGCAATTAATAAAAGCAAATTTGTTCAGTAAATGAATAATCAACCTGAGGACAGATGACGTTGTTTTCTGGTGTGTGTGCGACTCGTTCCAGTGAACACACACAGGCGCTGGCCAATAGGAGCAGTTGAACTCTCCACCACGTCAACTCCATTGCGCAACAGTTTCACTCTCGTATCCAACAGACGATTAACCGAAACTGGTTAAGAACAAAATCCCAAAGATTATATCCTTCGCGATGTAGTCTCTGTGAGGCTTTAAGGGACCCCAGAGGACCATAGTTCTGACCGGTTCGGTTATACAGTCCGAATCATCCGTCCAGTACTCGAGTCTCCTCGTGCAGGAAGCGCGAGAGCGCGCAGTAACGCAGCATACTGTCCCGGTTTTCTGAAAGACGACAGAAAACGATCAGATACGTATTATTCCGTCATTTAATGTCTTCAGCTCCTGTTATCTGATTTAAGCTTCTGATTCAGGCCCTAAAAAATCAGTAAAAGTGTGTTCGCTAAGAGGTCACCTGGTTTCCAGTATGCCCAGGTGTGTCTCTTTGAATGACAGAGAACGTGGGCGTTCGTGAATCATGTTTGCTGCTTGGAATGTCTGGATTCACGATACATTTTAAAGGGCAATGCATATTCTTCTCATTATTGTAACTCCATTAAGTTGCCCATAAACGACACTTATGTCATATTTAGAACTTCGAAATAGTGACATTATGTTAAAGATAGCACATACACACCTTTCAAGCTAAACATTTTATGTAAATGAGTATGTTAGGTTTCAAATAATTTCAATAAAATTGGAAATAGCGACAATTCAACTTGGACAACTTGGAACAACTTAGTTAATAGCCTATAATGAACTAAATCTAAATCACCGAAAACATCAGCTCATTAAACATCATTAAGCAAAAATGACAACAAAAAAAAAAAACATTGAGCAGAACATTTTAGTTCTGAAAAAAAAAGCCCCTGCAACATTTTATTTGTTGATGACATTTTCAAACTTTTTATGAAAAGGCATGTTTTGTCAAAATTGACATTTGTTACCTTTTAATGTGTATTTAAAGTGCAAGGAAAGTATTTTAGTATCACTTGATATCAAACATTAAATCTATTTTCTTTGTCTGAGTATACAAATAATCTAGTTTTAAACTGGATTTTAAAATGATTTCCATTTTTGATCATCTCCGACATCCTTATTTTTCATTCTGATGTATTTTTAAGTGAGACAATTTTTTTTTGATTGTTTACGTGCTATTAATGCCACCACTGGTATAATTATATCACACAACCGAATTTTAAAATACATAATATTTTTTGATTATGGTATGTTGATACTATGATATTGATTGCTTATGGTAATTTAAATGACAAAAAAAGATCAAATGTTACATCAGGAAAAAAAATGCTCACAAAATAAATAAAAAACAATGCAAAATGTTACTTACTGCTCAGAAGTCTTAATTTTAATTCATGTTTTTGAAGCTCTTTGATGTATTATAATGCCTCTTCGCTGACACACATTCATTAAATGAGAATGTGTGAGTGAACTTTGAGTGTACATGAGAGACTCACCACTCCCAGCTAAAAATCAAAACACACACACACACACACACACACACACACACACACACACACACACACACACACACACACACACACACACACACACACACACACACACACACACACACACACACACACACACACACACACACACACACACACACAACAAATTGGCTTTGTGGAAGAAAACTTCAGTATAACAAGATGTTTGTGTGCTCATAATTAACAGGGCCGCTGTACTAGATGTGAAATATGATCTTGTTTATTTGCAGCTTTGTAAAACTATAACCAGGAAATTGTCAGGTGCAAAGTTCCATCTGGCGCATTCTCTGTAACCAAGTGAATTTGTTTAGCAGCTCTGTTTCACGTATCTTGGCAACTGGTTAATAACCCTCCTGGATTTAAGAGTCACTGTTAATAACTGACAGCAAACACCCAAAACAGGGAGCAACATATAGTGAGTTCATCCAGATGCTTTAATACAGGGATAAGGCTCATGTTTATAAAGCAAGGATTGTTATGCAACACCCCAAAAACACCCATCCCTGAAGCTGAATTCCTTTAGGGGAGACTGGGGCTAGTTGTTACCTCAATACAAGAGCAACTGTCAGGTTGGGGCAAGTTGTCACATGTTTCATGTGTTGACCTGTAGGTAAAAGTCTACATAGAAGTAGCTTTTTGCACATCTAAAGCTGTTTTATTGAAATCAAATTACATGATTTAATGTGACTGAATCAACCTGACTGCATTTACTGTTGAACATTTGCTGGACATTAAATAATATTCTGTGTACTGTTGTAGAAATGTTTTAAGGCTAGATCTTTAAGCTTAAAAAAAAAAAAACATCTGAATAAACAAGTTAGTTAGCATTCTCACCCTATTTTTATCTCTACCTTGAAAAAGCTGGCATTTCTCAGACCCTGCCCCGTCACATTCATTAAATGTCTCTGTCAAAGAACCGAGGTAATTTGATGCTTATAACGCAACGATTGTGCCTCAGAGATTATGATGCAGAGTTTATGTGGTTTTGTGTGAAATCATGAAAGTGTGAAAGAATGTGCCCTTTTCATCGCCTCTCGTGTAAGAAGTAGGCCTAAATATCGAGTGATATTTACATTTATTTGTCATTGTATAGGGAGGGTATTATTTATTTTTTTATTTTTTTGCAAATAAATCAACATTATTCCATAACACTGCATCTTAACATTTAGATAATAAAAATGGTAATAGATGGATTACTCTGTGGCTGAAATATAATTAAACTCAAACTTGTGTGCAGTCAGGAGGCGTTTCACCTTTACTACAGTGAAGTCACAAAGCGCCACCTGCAGGCACTTTTATAGCATATGAGCCTGACATTTGAAATTAAGTCTGGAAAAATCTCGCATGTAGAGAGTAAACAACACTATCTAGCAATAACTTCATATATCATGTCTAGAACATGGTTAACTTACACATGGTCACACAATTCCTCCTAGGGTAGATATAATAATGTGGCAGTTTCTGTGCTCAAACTGTGTCCTTTTTGTCTCAACAACCTCTCAGATTTCATTTACAGATTACAAAAAAAAAAAGGAAGTTCTCTTGCGGAACTCTTGAAAGTTGCGAAACAATGTTGAACACATAATAAAAATAGTCTTTGTATTCACAATAACTGAGAACCTGTTATTGTGGAAAAATTCTAAATACTATACTTAACACTGAAACTCAAATGCTGATAGAAGAAAAAAGATCAACAGTATCTATAGGCTACTCATAAAAGTTTTAAAACAAGTGCAATGATTTATATCCTTATTCTATATCTTACCTTCTCAATGAGGGTAAAACTGTGACAAGTACCCAGAAAGCCACAGAGAATCAGGACGGTTTTGTCCATTGCTACTTCACATTAATGGGACTTTTAAGTGCACACAAATGTCGAACCCACGTCCAAGTTTTGCCCTTATGATGGGTTCAAGAGACTCCGATTACATATAGTGGGGGAGGTCAATAATAGCCAATCGCATGATGTGGACAGGAGTTTAAAGGCAGTGTGTGTTTCGAGGTCTGCTTTCTGAGCAGGTCATGATGGATCGAGCAGCTCTCAGACTGATTCTCTTGGGCGTCTTTCTCATCTCAGCCAGTTCACAACAACCTGTAAAGAAGGTGAGGGTCAACACTCAAGATGTGAGAAATTAACATCTAAGGCAATGTATGTCTTTGGGGTACAAAATCAGATAACCCTATAAAGCCTATAAATTATCAACGTGATAAAAAATTTGCTAGAAAATCGGCATAATCTACTTACATGCCTTCTGCCATGCGAGTGATAGTTATACCCTTTTTAACAAGTACAAGGCCTTTTAGTTTAATTATACAATTGTGGTACTCGTGTCTTTTAGCTGTGAACTCTTTAAAGAGAGTAAGCTTAAGCATAACTTTTATATTGATATTAATCTTTTAAGACAAACATTTATTGGACGGAAGAAACAGGTTTTCTTGATTATCAGTATATTATTTATTAGAAAAATTATGTTAAAATGTATAAAATACAGCAGGCTTTTGAGTAGGCCTATGGTTTATTTGTACATCTCTCAATCATCATTGTATTGCACTGCATTATATTTTTATGCCCCACAATTAAAACTACAAACATTTGATCATAAAACTAAGACATATTATTGGGAGATTTGATCAGTGACAACTGATATTTATATGCAGTACACTAGGTAGTGTACACTAGATGAAGGTGAAGTACACTAGATGAAGTAAAGTAGGTGAAGTACACTAGGTAGTGTACACTAGATGAAGTACACTAGGTGAAGTACACTAGATGAAGTACACTAGGTGAAGTACACTAGGTAGTGTACACTAAATGAAGTAAACTAGGTGAAGTACACTGGGTGAAGTACACTGGGTAGTGTACACTAGATGAAGTACACTATACATAAATAGGGAAATAAAAGTATAAATAGTCTAATTTATTTTTGTTTTTTTACATTTATTCGTGTATTTATTTATTTAAAATTTTTATAGGTTTGGTCCTCCATACTTTTACCGATATATTTACCAATATCTTTGGCATTTCTAATCCAAACTCGGCACTGCACTTACTCGTGCCCGTAGCAAGACACCAGTCAAGTTTGAAATCCATCGGACTAAAAGTTTGAGAGATATGTGATTAACAGACAGACAGACACACAGACGTTCCTTTAATGCAGGGGTTCTCAAAGTTTTGATAGGTGAGGGCCAATTTAGGAACCCAAAATTGAACTGAGGGCCGCCAAAGTGGCGGGGGAGAAAACGAAGAAAAAAAAAACTGAAAAGAAAATCCCATTTGAAATTATTTTAATGACCAGGTTGCATCTCTACAGTTTACATTAGTTGCAATAAACACATTTTAATTCATAACTGAGGCTAAACCTGGCAAAACTTGTGAAAATTTTGGGGGGGAGAGAAAGAAACTTTTAAAATAGAAGCTTACCAAACAAGTCATCATCATCATTCATTTCTATCATTGCTTGTCAGTCGCGTTTCCATTATTGCAGATTTGCATATTATTATCTATCTTTTTTAACCCGTAACTGAAAAACGAAAAATGAACGGTTGTTGTCTTTTTAAAACGCAAAGTTGAACAAAATTTTAATTTGAACTGGCTTCACCAACTGCTGCGCAAAAAAGTAAATATCGACAGACTTTTTCAGATTTTTGTTTAAATGACTTTTTGCCCCTTTATTAAACATTTTAAATATTCACAAATTAATATGGAAAACATGTCGATTTTACTGGTTTTCTAAGGCCAAATTAGAATTTATATTTTTCCCGCAGTGATGAATGAGAAGAGCCATATAGCCTGTACATGTCTGATCTAGCCTGATTTATAGGTGAGTTATAGGCTAATGATAATAAATGCGTCTGAAAAAACAGCGAGGCATTTTAATTGTTTATTAATAAACTATTGTTTTCTAAGTGTCGGCTAAAAACATATCTCCATCTCCGCTGTTAAGCAGATGCGCTTTTAGAGAGAAATCCACCTTTCATACGGATTAGCCTACATAATCAGGTATTTGCTTTCGATTCGAGTTTGTTTGTTTAAAAGTGCACATTTTAAGCTTTAGCCTACATAGGCTATATTTTGTTTCAGTTCTCGCGCTCCAGTTCACGGAGATCACGAAAGCGCGTAGTAGCCTAGGCTACTGATTGTTTTATTTTATTTTACAAAAGCACGTTTTCTTGTTATGAGTTTACACAAATAAAAGTAGTTGCGAATAATGCATTATTATTTTCTGTATGACCAGAAATGATAGACTAGTTTAAGTTGTTTCCACTGTTGATAGGAAAATGCAAGTGTTCGCGCCCGTGAACATTTTGAAAGGTAATGGAAACGCGGCTATTAATAAGCTTGACATTGGTAAGATTATTATTAAGTCACATTGAATATTGATTACTTGGTCAACATACCCTTTTAAATTGCAATGGGATTTGTGGTGCTGGTTTCGGTTGGCCACGATTCCTATTCCTGTGTAGACAACCACTGTTCCTGGTGGCCTTAGGAGTGAGGTCAAGTGCGATCGGTCGGTCGGACCATGTAATTACCGCTTATGCCTATGGATGCCGCTAAACACCACTAAACGGAGATATTCATTTTTTCAAAGCAATAGTTTTAACAGTTTTACAGATGTTATCGCGGGCCGCCAGAAATGTTTCGGCGGGCCGCCATTGGCTCGCGGGCCGCACTTTGAGAACCTATGCTTTAATGTATAGATAGATATAAATGCACAATGCTGCAAGATCCTTTAAAAATGTCCTTCAATGGTTTTGCCATAAAAAAATGCATTGTGCAATCATTGTCTACCTAGTGTACTTCACCTAGTGTACACTACCTAGTGTACTTCACCTAGTCTACACTACCTAGTGTACTTCACCTAGTGTACACTACTTAGTGTACTTCACCTAGTGTACACTACCTAGTGTACTTCATCTAGTGTACACTATCTAGTGTACTTCACCTAGTGTACACTACCTTGTGTACTTCACCTTAGGGTACTTAATCTAGTGTACACTACCTAGTGTACTTCACCTAGTGTACACTACCTGTGTACACTACCTAGTGTACTTAATCTAGTGTGCACTACCTTGTGTACACTACCTAGTGTACTTCGTGAGTGTGGTACTCATATGTGCACTCCAGGCAGATTCATAGAACACACTGCAACATGATTGTGACATCACAGCAGATCACTCTTAATTCATTCCCACCCCACACAACTCTAGTATATGATATTGGAGTTATTTTGAGATTTAACCGCATTGTAGCTACCTTAAGCTGACTGTTTTTACACAGTTATAGTTAACTGTGTAATTTTTTTTATATTTTCACCAACAGCCCATAGTGTACACTATCTAGTGTACACTAGATAGTAAGTACACTAGATAGTAAGTACACTAGATAGCAATGGTGCATAAAACTCGTGCAACTCAAGCAATGACACACTGTATATCCAAGTGAATGAGATGAAGGGAAGATAGTGAGGGAAGGGCATACAATTTTTTAAGTTAAACGCAGCCCAAGACGACAACTGGACACCACTTGCATTAAATTAAACAAGGGTTTAAGGTTATATAACAAAAATGTAGTACACCATTGTTTGAAACCATGAAAAAAAAGCTAATGTTAGTAATGACTACAGAGCATGTGATAAGCCATGTACAAAAAATGTGATTAATACGAAAATAGCCAGAATGCCAGTGATGTTAATGTGTTTATTATGTACAGTGGTTAGCTAACAACTATTTATTGTTATTAAATGGATTGTTTTGGATAAATTGTTTTAATTAAACCAACACTGGCGACAAGTAACAATATGTGTGGATTATCTTTAAGGAAAACCCCAAATTTCATACGAGGAGATCGAAAGGATCGCAAACACCAAGTCTAAAGATAATTGACAAGGAGGTGAAGACGTCTTTGTAAGTGATTAAATTAAGAAATACGTACAGACTTCCATAAATCTATGTACATCATTTCAAAGATGTACTGTGTTGCCCTTTATGGTTATATATTTAATTTATGAATGTACAGTAGAGTTGATAAACAATGTTTTCCCATATATTTTAATGGTCTGTTTTATGCACAGTAAATATTTCAATGGTTCAATCCTATCTGGTCTAGTAATTGTTAAAACTGACCAAAGGGAGTATGGCATTGTCTGTGGCACTGCTTTCTCAAGATATATGTGAACAAATAAAAAGCAGTCAAAGGTTTTCATTCAAGACTTACTTATAATTGTCTAGTACATTTTTAGCTTGATTTGCTTCTTTTTAAAATCCACTTCAGCTTTTCCTTGGGTTAATCCAGTTCTTAATCACAGTACAACATTAAAAATAAAGGTTCAAAATGGAGATTTTGCATAGAAGGACCAATTTGTGTACAGTTCTTAAAATAAAAAAACATCTTCCTCATAGCCTTTGTCCGAAAGCTTTAAAATGATGCCTTCGTATGATAAATTCCAAGGTAGGAAGGCATAAAGGCACATATGAATGCAATTTTAGATTCAGCATAGATGAATCCTTTACTGCCTTTGATAACTAAACACAGTTAAACTAAAAAATGAAAGATGGTATCTGAAAATTGGGTGGTCAGTTTTGTGTAAATGTAAGTTTTTGACCAACGGTTTCCACTTTTTATATTTTAGGATTGTCGTTGTAGTTACTTTGTTATCACCAAACTTCTAACTACACCATCTTTTGATGAACAAATCTTTTGAGAAGTCTCAAAATTAATTCTCAAAACATTAAAAGAATGTACAATGTGGTTCTTTAACATTTTCTGAGGCTCTGCAGAAAAGATTGTTCCATTGAAATACCAGAAAACCATTGCTAACTCAAAAGGTAGTGCGAAATTCCTTAGTGTCCATTTGTCATTGTGGCATCACTCATGGAAATGTTCTACATATTTGTTTAAAAATCAAAACACTTATTGTTAATGCCACTGCACAGTCATTCAAGTATGTAAACAACATATTTTATGGAATAAATCATGTTATTTGGTAACTCTTAAAAGGTCATTGCGGCATCCCATATATGGCTTTAGGAGGGTCTGTTTACACAGCCTCCTCGAACCAGATCCATTAGTTCCTTCCTGAATTTCTCAGACATGAAAACGTAAAGAATGGGGTTGGCCACTGTAGAAGACGTTGCCATGATGCGAGCAAATGTAGCAAAAGGTCCAAAGTGAGGTAAAGGACCAACCGCATTGTCACCCTCAACTATTTGAGCGAACATCAAGCCATAGGAAGGCAGCCAGCACAAGGCAAACGCCAGCACTAACAGAGCAGACGTCTTGGTGACATGCACATGGTAGTGCTCCAAACGGTCAGTCTGAGTTGTGCGATCCCGCCTAGTGATTTTGAGGAAATGGTATATCTTGACATAGGCTATTACAATGATCAAAAGCGGAAATGCAAAAGCCAGAAGGAAGTGGCACACTCCATATGCCAACTGGCTCTTGTCCGAAAGGAAATTAAAACATGCCAGGTCTTCACGAGCTTCACGGTTGTCCGAAATCAGCGTCCTCCAAGCGAACTGAGGTGATGCCAAGACAACAGCTGGTATCCACAGTACACCTGCAATCACTGTTAAACGCCCCTCTCTGCGCCATCGATACGCTTTTGACTTATGAACCACGATGATGTACCGAGCAAAAGCCAAAGCGGCCAGCGTAAAGGCGCTCGCGGCTGTACACATCGCACTCAGGAAGCTGACTGACTTGCACATAAAGCTTCCAAATGGCCAGTGATGGGTTGCAATGGCAACTGTGTGATATGGAAGACAGGAAAGTAGGAGAAGGTCCGCCACACTCAATGACAGAAGAAGAACATCTGTGCCGTTTGCATTTGTTTGCTGGAGTCCTCCTGTCCTTCCTTCACGTCCTCGCCGCATCGTACGACTGATGATGATGAGAACCAGGATGTGTCCCACCATCCCGGTCGCCAGGATAAAGCTGTCAAATATGGGTACCAACACTCGCTCAACATCACTCGGTCCAAGACTGGAACTGTTTGACTCGGTAGTCACGTCAACCATATTGGAGTGTCCAAGAGTTGACAACAATCTAACTTTGAGTGTAATTGGTTCTTAAATTGGTTCTATTTTTTTATGCATCTTCAAAAATACTTTTACTCACTTGAAAGTTTCAGTCTTCCTGCAAATACTAAAAGCATCTGGACGTTTAATGAACATTTCCCCTTTCAAAGCTTCTCAGACCAGTGTTCAAACATTTCAAAACCATGTTCGGTTATACAATGTACATCATTGTGCATTCTTGTAGTTTTGCCTGAGAACGCAGTGATGTCCAGACCTGATTGTACCGTACAGTAGTCTAGATAAAACGCTCTGGAATGCATCAATAGTTAATGATTGCAGCATGACTGAAAGAGCAGAAATACTGCTATTGGTTTAGTTCTCTCCAAGGAAATCAAAATGTTGCTTGAAATCATTGTTTAATTGTCTTTTCATAGATATATTTCCTCTTTTCCTTTTAAATATATGGCAGATCCAAAGCCAAAATGATGGCAGTTTTACTTGCCTGCAGATGAATTCAAAGAATTGCTGTAGCCTACTCTTCTTCTAACTTGAAGATCAGTGTAACAAATGTAATGTCTATAAGCTCAGAGAATCAATCTTCCGGAACTCCAAAGGTAATATTCAAAAGATCTGGACAGACAATCCCTGCTTCAACGGAGACTTCAACAGCCGGAGAGGCAAGTCAAATGGCCTTTGACCTGACAGCAGTGACGCAACTCCTATAAACACGGAGCTTTGTTTAACCACTCATTTAGTGAATTGTCAAGTTTAGTCAATAGAGAAAACCTTCAACTTCTCTCTGTAGTTTCTTTCTCTCACATGATTCTATGTTTTAGCCTGCGAAAATGTCCATATAGCCTTGCAAGCAATGTTAAAATATTATAATTGAATACATTTTTTTCCATCCAAAAATTAATAAAACTGTCATAGTTTGACATGAAAGTCAAAACACAATTGGAGCCTATTGACTTACATTGTATGGACAAAAAACAGACATTTAAAAAAAAAAAAAAAAACACTATATTTTACAGTGTCCTTGCTACATATGTGACATAATAAAAGTAAACGATGCATAATTGGATGAAACTAACCCTCAACCAAATCCTAACCCTATAGTAATGTAGTTAATTAATATTACTCAGTGCTTAAATATATACTTACACTGTAACAATGACACCTTAAAATAAAGTGTAACCATATCTTCTTATGTGTTATGTAGATTAAAAACAAATACAGGTTTGGAACAACATGATGGTGTGTAAATTATGACAGAATTTTCATGTTGCGGTTAACCAGCCCTTTAATTAATACTGAGAAACACGGGTTGTGTAATTTTGAATTTCCTTCAAGTTCCTTTGAAGCAAATGTTACAGCAAGTCATAAACTCAAGTTTACATGTTCAGATAAGTTTTAACCACAAGGGCAAAGGTTAAAGCATACAGATAAAGTGTCCCGCACATAACTTAGATTGTCTGTGTCTGCTGACTCATAAATACCCTTATTAGTATATCATCTTAGTTTAATCTAATGAATCACCATGACTTGATTTATGATATAAACTTTGGACAGTCTGTGTTAAAGCATGCTTCCATTTGCCTTCTCAACTTCTCAGCCTGAGAAATTAAAGTTTTAAATAAAAATAGAGCAGAATAAACCATCATTTTGTTTCTATTTCTGCATTTAGTTCAATTTATTGTAGTTCAAAATTTCTAAAAACTTCTAAAAATTGCATTATATAATTGACATTAATTAGTGTAATTTGCTAATGCAAACAAGAATGCAGACGATGGATGGATGGAATTTAGTCAAGAATACATGCTGGTGTAACTATTGCCTAATTTTTTTTATCAAATGTTTGTTTAATCACAAGAGGGAGCAGTTTAACTTGAGACAGTGTTTAATGGAAAGACATGCTTATTCCAAAAACAGCATATTATGGTTACAATCACATAGATTTTGAAGAGGGGTCATTTTAAATACATTTTAAATTCATGAATTCATGAAAAGGCTGAGGTGGGTGTCAAATCGATTTCTTGCTTGCCAATGACTGAAAAATATTCTTAATACAAACATAAGCAAGTGTTTTACAAATATGTTCTGTCCCAGTTTATAAATTGCCCATATTGAACTCTACAGCTGAGTGACGGTTAAATCAGAAATGTCTCCCTGCATCACAGCCTGGAACGGGACAAGCCAACATCTGATAACCGGAGTTGAAGGAAGTGTGTAGTCTGTGACATCCTCCCTACAGATACATTCATAGATTAAAACAGATATATAATAAAGGAAAAAATCAGCTGTGTATATGATCACTTTTAATCACTTACAAGCTCGCCTTCACTTCCTGGTCCATTATCTTTAGAGTTGGTGTTTGTGATCCTCGAACCTCCTCATATGAAGCCTCAGATTTTTCTTCAATATTATCCACAGTTATTAAGATTTTATCCCATGTTGGTTTAATAAAGCAAGTTACAAATCAAAATGTACCATTTAATCGCTCATCCAGTTAACAAAAAATATGTTCTAAGATGCTTTAATAAGCTGCATAAATAGACACATAAATCCTGTAGCAGATGTAGGCAGGTGGAGCAGAGGGAGGTAGGAGGTAACGCTGATAGTGCGCTGCAGGACTAACTTACAGCAAACAATGAACCAGACTATTTTAATGTTGAGCAAGCAATCTCATTGGCTGCAGGATCAGCAGAGGCCAATCAGCTTGTGCTATGTGGAAATTACGTAATTGCTTGCAGATTGCATGTAAACCTATCAGCCTATGAGAGTTTCATGTCTGAACTAGATCTATATATATAACATTTCATGCTAATGTTTTGAGAACATTATTAAAGACCAGATAACTTTGAACAAACATTTCATGAATGTTACTGGAAGAACATTTGTTCATAACTTTGAGAAAACCTTGCCAAAACGTTAGCTTAAGTTCTGAGAACGTTCCCTGTTAGCTGGGTCAAGTGTTAATACATGATTAAATGTTTAACCAGTGATGTACTCTTACCTAAAATGCCCCTCAAACTGACATCTTTTGGCTGTTGCCGAACAGCAGGCCACAGAAACACTTCACCATTTTCCTTGTGAAGAAGAATAACAACACGTATGTTTCCCATGGTAACGTCCATTTCATTTCTTCGTAATATCAGTGACACGCTGTTGAAACAGAGAAACTGATGAATGAATTCTACTTCACAGAAAGAAGCTATAACATACACAAATGTAGTAAAACACTTATAGTTTGAGTAGTATATACCCCTCTGTATTGTGTTGAGTAGGTTCCTGGTCCCACAAAAACTCAAAATGATTCTGGCCATCTTGGTATCTGATAGATCTTGTGTTTATTGTCAGGTGATGGTTTGTTTTGTAATGAAAGGCAATTTGAATGAATCCCTGTCGTCTAGTCATGAATTGTCCATTCATAGAGAACTCTAAGACACACAGAAAGTCACACAGTATGAGTACATACAAACCATTCAATTAAAAAAAAGATGACTTTCAAAAGGATGTGCATGAAGAGTAAATGTGGATTCTGCTTCAGAGTTACCTGAAGCAGAATCCTGTAGCAGTCTGAGTTTCTGAGGAGCAGGAACGTCAAAACACAGTGGCTTAGACTGACCAGCAGCAGGCAGCAGGAACCGGTTACCAACTGTTGGAACTAAGAGAAAACATTAGCAAATGCTGTATCATAATTATTTTATGTATGTTTGAGGGATCTTTATGTACCTGACATAGTAAGGAGAACACTCTCTTCCTCTTCACTCTCCTGCATTGTGGGCATTTGAGCTAAGAAGGTGCAATTGATCAAATTAGACTTTCTTGACACAAGGCAGAATCAAAGTTACAGCATTTTAATACATACCAGAATAAACTTTGGCGGAATAATCAGGTGAATCTAAAAAAAAAAAGTTCAATAAAATGTCAGAGACATTATAATACAGCTTTTCATACTAAGTTAGTTTATCAACTTTTAGAAGAAAAGAAGCATACCATAGATCCCTGGAATAGGAACATGTGGATATAGTCCGGGGAAATCAACACGCGGTCTCTGCAGATAGGGCTGACTAATAAAACCGTGACCAGGCTGACCAGGCTGACCGCGACTGTGAACGTACTGACTAAATCCGGCTAAAAAATATATTTAAAGGCAGATTCAGTATATTGAATTCGGCATAAAATGAAAATTCACCCTATTTTCTAAACGCATATTATAAATCTTATTGTGAATTATCTTATGTGTATGTTTTTGTTTTTTTACTTTGACCTCATCATTTTTAATAAAAATATCATAACTGGATAACTATCATAACTATCATAATCTTCATTTTTAAGCGACAGACTTCTCTCTGGTGACGTATGCACGACTTCAACACTTTGTTCAAAGAAAATTTGAGTAGATGGAAAAGAGATGTGTATCATCTCAAAATCTAATAGACAACTGATGTACAAAACTTAATACACGCTTTACATTATTAATTTTTGGATAAGCTGTTTCACTCAGATGTGCATCAGTACAGAAGAATATATCTATCGGTACTTCCCTTTCATTGCAACTTTAAATTCACTGCAATAGTTTGAGTACATTAACTGTTAGATCACCATTTTATACCTGCAATTGGATTCCCGGATGAAGGAAGCAAACTCATTACTGATTAAAAAAGAAAGAGAAAGGTGTTATTCACTGTACACAGTGGGCAGCAAGTCCAAGACCACAACAGTGAAAATCTGTGATTTTCTTTTATTTAAACCTTGAAACAAAGCAATGTTAAAATGAAGGAATATTTAAGATTTTGCATTAATTGTGGACAAAAGGAAACATACTGAAGTTCATGTCAATTCAAGTTTTTACTCAAAATGTTTGCTGATAATATATTTTGTAATGAAATATACTGTACAGTAATTAATTAAAACTATTTCACAAGTGATCAATTTTATTGGATGTTTGGGTTAACCTATATGATGCAGTTGATGCAAAGCTTCATTAATACATTAGTGCATAACTTTTCATATTGCTGCTGTCATTGTCACTTTGTTTATTTTGCTGCAAAAAATTTACCTTGCTCTTTTATTAAAGGTCAGATGTTTGCACACTTTCATTTCCTACGTTTGTAAGATACTAAAACTTCTCAGTTCTCACCTGGAGGTCTGGGTTTCTCTCCTCCCTCTTTGGGTTTGTCGGCAACTTCTACTTCATCTTCCTGTGGCTTCGTGACGACCATAGAGGTGAGGGAGGTGACAAACTGGTATTTCAGGGATAGTTCGAGAGCTTCTTGCCTTTCATCCTCTTTCTCCTGTCCTTTAAGAAGCACTCTGAGACAGAAAGATGTCCTCAATGTCCAACAAAAAAAGCAGAATGTCATATCACTCAATAAACTTACTGCCTTTCCAGAATTTGCTTCACTGTAAGGTAGGCCCACAGTCTCGGCATGAAATCCTCATTCTCAGGTGTGACATCACTGGGGTCTTTTGCCATTACAGTTTCCTGATACGTCACGTTATTGCCTTTCTGCTCAGAAATAAAAACACTAGTGGGCATTTTCATCAGGAATCCTGTCATCACCCCTTTCATCAATAACTTTCTCAGAAAACAAAGTGACCATTATACCAAACTCTTAAACAATTGATCATCAATGATCCTAATACACAATATAATGACCTTGGTTGAGACTGCCGAGATAAAACAGCCCACTCAATCCCTACCAATTCAAGATATTGTAAAGCACCATGATGCTCTTACTGATACTGCAATGACTTCAGTGGTGAAACTCTCCACACTGTTGTCTGTGATTTGTCCTGATACCACAATCTCAGAGCCATTGAAGTACAGGCTAAAGCTGGTCTTGGTAAGGTTTGTCCCTCCTGTGTATTTAAGTTGAATATCAGTGAGGAGAGGGACGGCAACTTCTTCATAGAAGCCCTACAATACACACAGAAATAAAGGGTTTAAATGCATTGAAACACAGAACAGATAAGCACTGAGGATGAATTCACAGCTGATTCTCTGTCGTTCACCCGCAGCTGTAGATCAGCGTCCGAATCTTCATAAATCCTGCGAGCAACTCCACCATTTTCCAATGACATCTTTGTCAGGAAGTCAAAGTTGACATCATATCCAAAACCAAGACAATATAGGGGAAACTTTAGACCAATTGCCTCTTTCACATTGGCCATTATCCTCTCTATGTTAGTTTCACCTGTTTTAGAAGAAAATAAGTCGAAAAATAAGACTACCTACAATACATACTTGAAAATCATGACATTTTTTGAGTGATCAGAAAGCAATGAAATCATCGGACAATTTCATATTTCTTATTCTTTTCTCTTAATACAGACAAAGAAAATAACCAAATTTGGTCATGATAATAATCTACTGTTCCTAACTGCACTTTTAATTAGGTCTTAAACCTTTTATTAACAGGTCTTCTAATTACACTGAGTGAACTATGCTAGGATAAAACACATTAGCTTGTGTTTGTCAGTGAATCTGTGCCTGAAGTGGGATCTCCATCAGTCAGCAGGATCAGGATGGAGGCGGTTCCTTCTCGTGGATGTCGATTGATCAAGTCCACTCCTGCTAGAACTGCAGAGTTAATGTCTGTGGCTAAAGGAAGAACAAACATATTTGTGTCATATTGAGGTACAGCTTTCTTACTCCCCATTTAGAGTTAGGAACTCACCTCCTCTATCGCTGATCTTCTTCACAAAAGATTTTGCAGTCTCCAGGTTTTCCTCGGTAGCTTTCAGGAGTTCATTCTTCCATGTTTTAACTTCACTGTCAAAAGTGATCAATCCAAAGTGGTCGTCCTCATCAAGATCACCTAAAATCTTTAGCAGTGCCAAACGAGTCTAAAGAAAAACACTTCTGTCAGAACATCTGAAAGTAATTTTTTCTCCATTACAACTCCATTCTCATTTACCAGATATGGGCGGTTTTTTGTTTTTACTCATTTAAAGTAAGCAAATCCACAGTGTTTTCAATACATAAATCCCTGTTATTTTAACATATAAATGCACAATGCTGTAAGATCCTTCAAAAAAATATTATTCAGTGGTTTTACCATCAACTATTTCATAGCTTGTTATCTTTTAGGTTAAACATTGACATTTACCTGTTGTATTTTTCTACCGTACATAGAACCGCTCCGGTCAATGATAAAAACCACATTTTTGGGAATGCGTGGAACATCAGAGGGTGCAAAGTAGTGGACAAAATAGCCATTTGACACCTGAGGGAAAACAAAAGTACATTCTGAATATCATTCATGTCTTTGTACACAGTCAGTGTTTTAAAATCCTTTGGCAAATTTCTTTTGCTCTTGTAAAGTATGTTATTGAAAAATGTACCATGACTTCTCCTGTATGATTTGATCTTTCTACATCGTATGTTATAAGCAGGTCACCATTCAGTCCATTTTCTCCACAGCTTTTACACTTGGTCTGTTGATCTCGAGTGGGGTAGAAGGTCACCCATGCCTGAAATGATCAGTTTGCTCATCTGGTAACTTAGTTTGAAGTGTAATAGCATAATGAGAACATTTAAGCGAAGTGTTTTACCACTCATTTTAAGCTCTTACGTCTTTGTCTGCTCTGGTGGTTTTGATGGCATTGGCCAGATCATCTGTGCTCAAATCTCCTTTCACCTCCAAGAAGGAAATTCCTGGTTTCTCTTGTATGTGAACATCAATCTAAAGTGAGTAAAAGAAATATGATCTTTCTATCCAGCTTAATTGATGATCTATTTTCCTCTTTGTTTCTTCTCCTACCTTGAAGTCTGCCACCGGCTGCATCGGTTGGGCATTGATGAGTAGCTCATATTTGCCAAGGCGGCGCTTCAGCAGTTCTTCGTAGGTCAACTCAAAAGTCACTTTACTAAAAGCAGCCACCGTCACTGAAGTTTTAAAGTCTTCTAAAGTCCTTCCAACAGATCTGAAATAGAAATGAATCCCAGCATAAACATGCTATAAAAACACATTTAATTGATCTATTATTTTTTATGTCCAGTACTTGATCAGTCCAGCACTTTCTCCTCTAGATACTGCTCGACTGTACTGTTGCTGAGCTTCCTGCTTTTCCTTCACAACACCATCATATATCTTCCCCTCTATGGTCCTATGGAGAAAATGACAATTACATCCTCTTAATATGTGTATCTCAGACATATTGCATAAAAGAATTTATAAATCTTCAGTTAAGACTTTATTTCGATAGTCCACTTTAGACATTCTATAAGCAGGGCCGGCCCGAGGCATAAGCGAACTAAGCGGCTGCTTGGGGCCCCTTGGCCACCAGGGGGCCCCCCAATCGAGTCGGAAAATCGAAAAAATCTTTTTTTAGATGACTTAAACAAGTGACATAAATGAATGAATTAATATGAATGAATGAATGAATAATTAAAGACAAGAAAATTCAGATTTCATGATCAATATACCTCCCTACAACTGCTGCTGTGTCTGCCAGCGTTTAAAGGAGAACTCCGGCGCAAAATGAACCTTTGGTCTAATTACACATTGTTACCTAGTCAACCGTTATCTGAGATTTGTTTTCATGATTATCGAATGTAAATAGTTTTATCTCTAAAAACAGTTTAGCCTATAAAGCTAGTATAACGCTAGTATATTGGGCATAGATCAATGACAAATAAAAATCGCTTGTTAATACCACTAAAAAGGCTCAAAATAGCCCCACACTAACACGGTAGCATAATGAGGGTCCCTACCTTCAAACCGAAGCATTGAGAACTTTGTCAGTGTCCAGACAGTTTAATAAGAAGAT